TTGTTTGTTGATTTTTATCTATCATTTTCAAATGTCTATTATCTACATCTAACATACATACATATGAACAGCAACAACAATCAAATCGAATCAAATCAAATCGATAATCGAATCACCAAATCAAATCCATCAAGGATATTTGACACAAACATTCATCATATGTATGTATTCATATTTCATATGTAGGAAAAAAAACGATAATCATCATCAAATTTCAAGTGCAATAAATAAAACACATTTTCAATGGGAAAATAAAGTTTAAAATTTTCAGCATAAAAAAAATGAAAACTCCTATTATTAACGACCAAAAAGAAAGTCAAATTGGATTTCGAAAAAAAATCTAAACATTTTCAATAATGCAAAAGTAGAAAAATGAACGCAATAAAACAACCATTAGGTGTGGTGGTAATGGTGGTGGCAATGCTTCAAAAATCTTCCTTATAAGTCTTTTCATTTCGTCAACATCAGTTGGAGATTAATCTAATTTCAAAAATAAAAAATAAAAATTCTTTCTCGATCATTTATTTTACCTGAATTGTGAGCTGATCAATTAACGACGACGACGAGTGATTTAGATCAAAAAAAAAATTTAATCTAAGGTAAGTTTGTTTGATAAAGGTGATGAAGAATATATGAAATCTATATACATAACACAGTGTAAACAAATGGACACATAAATGTCACACACAGATACACATGTATCTAGGTTGACATTTTCTAATTGAAAAAAAATTTCATTTCCAATATTGTGATTGATGTTGGATGATAATGATGAGTGAACAGAGTACAGATACAAAGAAAAACACTATTTAGCAGCAGCAAAGTTTTTTCCAAGATTTTTGTACACAACGAATTCACAATGTGACATATTCATTCATTTGAAACACAAAACTATTAAAAACATGTTGAATTTTCATTTTGGAAACGGAAATTATTGGCTCGATAATAATGATGAAATTGAATGAAAATAACAACAACAATAACAGCTAAAAACCGGCCAAACAATCGACAACAACAACAACAATAAACGCCCTGAACAACAACAAAAACACAGTGAACCAACAGCTGGTTTTTTTTACAACATTTCAATATTGGAATAAAATAGATCCATATCATAAGATGAATAGATTTGTGTGTGAAGGTTGAAAACACAGATACACAAAGAGAGAACGAAAAATTAGCACGAAAAAAAAGCTGAACGATACACGATCCAAACGAAGATCAAATGACGAATGCTGGCTTGGTTGGCTGTTGTTCGGAGCAAGCCATTACAAAATACACGATCAAGCAGTTTGAATTTTGTGGCTGTGATGTGTGTTGTATCCAGTTCCACAGTCACAACCACATAAAGAGAGAGAAAGAGAACAAGAAAGGCAGAAGCAAAGTTTTACGAAATGGACAAAAACATAGTCAGAAACTTTCGTAGCTTTGAACCAACAGCTGGTTTTTACAACAAGCATTTACAGATAGAAAACAACCAACCATCCAGTTCCACAGTCACAACCAACAAAAACATAGTCAGAAACTTTCGTAGCTTTGCAAGCATTTAGATAGAAAACAACCAACCAACCAACCAACCGACCAAACACACACACACAGACATCAAAACAAAACAACAGAAACGGAAAAAGAAAATAGAGGAGGTGGAGCCACCATTTGGATCAAAAAAAAAATTGGCGCGAAATTTAAAATTTACTATACCATATTTGGACACATTTTCTGGATCCATTCATTGTTATTATTCACTTGAGCGCATGCACCATGTCCTCAAACGAACCGCGCACGTTTGTGGATCTATAAAAAAAAAGTTTGAAGCCAATTGGACAATGAACCACAATCATTCATCGAGAGAGAAAGATGCTAAAAATTGTATCATGGTTCACTTTACAAAAGTCTGAAAAAAAGGACTTTCAAACATCTCAACAAAAAAATGATCATTTATATATGATATATACCACTTGAAATCTATTTAAAAATCTTTTTAAGTTCAATTGGTTTGTGATTGGAATCCATCATCATCATCATCATCATAACCGAAGCACATCTTTTTTTCGTGGCTAATATGGTTCGATCACTGATTCTTGTAAACATTACATTTGACTGTCTATAGAATGATTAACTTTGTTTATTTGTGTGTTTCACTACCCACTACTACTACTATAGTATGGTAAAGTTAATCAAAATTGACATTTAGACATTGAATTTTTGCGAACCAGAAAAGACCATTATCAAGAATAATATAAGTTCACGTTTGTTTAATGTTTGTAAAATTAACAAGAACACATTTGACACGTTAGATGTATATTAAAATGAATGAATGGATGCCCAAAAAAAAAAAAAAGGGATTAACACCAAGTAATCATCGCTATCAATGTGTGAAAAAAGCGCCAAATTCCTTTTCGCCCCTTTTTTTCATTTTTGCCAGAAACATTTTCTTATCCGTTATAATCAACAACAACAAAAAGAATGTTTTTGACGTAGGAAAACAAGACAAAGACAAACACGTGCCATAATGAATTCGGGACAGCTGCCATATGTCAAGATATTTGTATTTAACGTGTTTTTTTTCATTTACATGAAAATTGAAAAAAATGAAATTTAATATAACAGAGCATTCGGTGGTGGTGTTAACAACAGTAAAAAAAATAGACATAACATGTGGACATTGCAATGTTTTTCGGTAAATGTAAAACAGATGTCCATAGTATTTTCCATGCACATATATAAATGGTATTGGTCACAAGTTGGCCACGTGTTTTTTTTGCTGTTGCTGCTTTCTTTATTCTTCAAAAATCCTTTGTCTTGACGGTATACCGACAAAGTTTGTTCGAGTGGGCCATAAAGACAAACTAATTCAGGTCCTCTAGGTTTATAACGCACTTGGACCTTTTGCCCAGACATGTGCATACACACAATATTGACATGGAAGAAACTTTTAAAAATTCAGATAACAAAAAAAGGATTTTTTTCTAATAAGTTCGAGTACTCTGCTTACTTATACTGTCTGTCGTTATTGGAACCTGCCACTAGGTCATAAATGTTTAAATGAGAAACACAACAGACATACATCGAAAACCGATAGCCAGCCTAATTCATGTCGTGTCATGTCATATGGTTATACATACGAGTGCAATCTGTGGTAAAAAAAAATCTATCTATCCATCCATCTATGTGGATTGTAAATTGAAAAAAAAGATACAGAAATTAGATTTTTTCTTTTGATTAGAATTTGTTCGAACACCTGGCGCGTGTCTCTTTTTTTGTGGCAAAAAAAAAACAAGCAATGACCCTCGTCGTCAAGATGAAAAATGAACCATACATCATTCAAGGTGGAAAAAAATTTTTAGAATAAAAAATTAATTTTTTCATCGCATTCAATCAATCAGTGAGATAATGATGAGATGATCAACAATGGCAAATGAAGGCTTTATCAGCAGCAGCAGCAGCAGCATTGAATTTCTTCTGGAATAGAAAACCAGAATTGATATGAATGTCGTTTTTATCTCGGTGAAAAAGAATCAACACAATTCAAGCGTAAAATTCGCTAGTTAATGTTCTCTCTCTCTCTCTCTTTCTCTTTTGTTTGGTTCGATTCATTTATTCAAGTCAATTTTTTGGTCTGCTTCGTTGAATCCTTCGTTATGCAATCATGAAGCTCATTGTAATCATGACATCATCATGGATTGTTCCAGATTGCAGTGAGAAACGAGAGAAAGAGTCTAGAATCCATGAATGTTTACCAACGAAACTAAACGACAAGATAGAATCTTTGGTTCACACGGAGATCTCAAAATTCGACATCCAACACATTCTGTTTATTTGGATGTGGAGAAAATAAACTTCACTTTTATATACAGCGATTATTTAGCTGAATGTTTTTGTTGATTTGTTTTTTTCGCTGTGTGTGTGTGTTTTGTATATCCAAATTGAATTTGGTTCTAAATGTTCATTCATTCATCAGTGCCACATTTTCCAATCACGTAATCACCCCACCAACCAAACCAAATGTAAAGAGAGAACTAAATGAAAACAAAAAAATGCTAAGAAGTCGCCATGGATTTCTCGTTTCTCTAGCTTGTCAGTCAGTGTTGTGTTTGCGATACATTCTTTATGAATGTTTGAGAAAACTGATGACCTTTGACCATGTAGTCCAATTTTTCTTTTTTGTTTTTAGATCTTCATTCTAGCATGTTGTTTCACACTTATCGAATGAATTGTGATTTATGTTTTTAGCAATTTATCATTATCCACGCCAATACCAATATAGAATGATTGCAATTGGAAATATTCAATTTCACACAATCCAAAAAATTGATTTCGATTAATAAATTGAAAAATGGGTAAAAAACAATCAAAAAAACGAAATGTTGTGTTTGCAATCCACATGAAATTTAATGGTGAAAATTGAAATCAATTTTTCATCTGATTGATCAGATGAACAGAAAAAAAAAAAAAATTCAAGTAAAACATCAATTCAAATTGGTGTGTGTTTAAATTTTCATTTTTTGCAATGACGGAAGTGGAAGCGATTGTGTGTGTATGTGAAAAGACAAGTCAATGATGATAAATGTTTATCTTTTTGTTTGTTTGTTTGTTCGTTTCCAATTGGACCAACTGAGAATGAACAAAAAATGTTCTATGTATCAAAATAAATTGCAGAACAAACAAACAGAAAAAAAACAATCATCTTTCTGATTATCGAAAAGAAAAAAAAATGTAATGAAATTTCAACCATTTTTTTCTGGTGTCATTTTCAATCATAATTTCTCTACTACTATACTACTAGATAAACAAACAATCAGGATTGATCGATTATCGAATTGTTTTTGATTGATCAATTTCACACACACACACACACACACACCTACACAAAATCATGATGTATAAAACATACAATTCAATTGAGTTAAACACACACACACACACAGACACACATGCATACAATTCACGGAAATCATTTCCAGTTGATTGTCAATTTTAATTTTGTTTTCAGAATGGAATGAGAAAAAAAATTGCATTTTCATTTCCGCTTAGATATTCAATAATTGTATTTGAACAACTCTCTCTCTCTCTATTTATTGGATTACAATATCGTTGGTGTGTAGTTGTGTATTATAGATTTTCAATTTGATTTGATCAATACCGCATGTATCAATGATTGATTATAGAATTTCGGCAACAATTAATGATGTCAATGTGGTTTTCTCTATTGATTATTTTTCAAATTTTGAGCAACCAAAATGAATAATGTTGTTGTATTAGCGATGACCTTGATTTTTTTTGTTCAGAAATAATATTATAGTTTATAAGAATTGTGTTAATCGATAATCACTCACCATTCCTATTGCTTTATAATCAATCATAACCTGATTATTCAATGTAAATCCTGTTGTTTTACTATTGATTATTTCCAATGAAGACATTAACTGCACAAACAAAACGAAACAAAACAAAACGAAAGAATTTTTTTTGTTTTCTATTCTTATTCATCACAAATCAAACCTTAAATTTCCATCGATTTACATGGCGCACAGAATGCAACGAGGCAAGCATTGTATAATAACGTTTATGTAGTTGAAATATTTTGAAACATAAATTAGCCGATGTTAATGTTAACAACAAAATGATGGCAATCGGCTGTATGAAAATAGCAATGAAAAATATTTTCATCGATAACAATACATTGGTCAATGCAACGATATAAAGCGAAAGACAACTCAATATAATATAAACAGTGATGGTGATCGATAGATATGAACGCCAAAATTCATTCATGGTACGAATTTCATCAAACAGATCCGATTGAGCCAATAAATGTGAACGAATTTTGGATGATGAAAATTTTCTAAATTATTACCATATAATAAAAACAAGAATATAAATCCATCAAGAACAACAGAAAGACTTACTTGAAATTTTTCATTTGTTTTTCATTTTGTATTGATTTTGCTTTTAGTATTTGACATACAATGCAAAAATATGTCAATAAATTACTAGTCCACATAAAACCATAATATGACCATATGGAACAAAAACCAGGATAGAATAGATTATACAGACCATACAACATGTATGAATGACCAAACAGGTGAAAATTATTATCAATTGGATTGATGGCGAAAAATACCAAACATCCTGTTATGCCAATAATGACCGTAGTGCCACAAACAATATGACAATGTCCATGAAAACGTTCTTTTATGAATAAACAAATTTCCGTCAGTTTTTTCTCATCCAGATAAAGTCGTATCGTATCAATATACGATTGTTTGATCAGATTATTTTGTTCATCATTCAGATATGGATTATAAATCTGATGACAATAAGCAATGATACATTGATAGAAACGAAAACGTTTATAGCGGCCATAAATGATCAGATGACATAGAAAATCTTTGATTGCAAAATGGAATGCAACCAATTCAGGATAGATACGAACAATTTTGAGTAAATTAAATACCGATCCTAATATTGTTGCCGAAACAGAACCATCGCTAATCAACAGAATGACAATGCCACGAATAAGCCAAAAAAGAAAAATGAATGATTGTAACCAGAATTGTAGATTACAAAATCGTTGATATGGCCGCTGCTGCTGCTGCTGATCCTGCTGTTGCTGCTGCTGTTGATCATCATCAGATATTGATGATTTTTGCAACAAAATTTTCAATCGAGATTTTTTCAACTTGTCAATATAGCCAATATTGTTTTTCAATAACATTTTAGTGATTGGATAATTCACTATTCGTACAGCAGTATCTAATCGCATTTTGGATGTGGATTCGGATTTTTGTTTCTTATCAAACAAAAATAATGAAAATCATAACAGATTCCAAACACTATTCACCAAGAAATTGTTTCAATTGCGAAAAAGTTTTGCACAAGAAAAACCTGGACACAATTTATTACAGTTTTGCAACTTGTGTGTGCTTATGAATAACAAAAAAAAAGACGAAATGAAAATCAATTTAAAAAAAGTGAAATTTCTTCACTTCTATTGCCGTTGTGTGCTCACGAGTAAATGGAAAATAAAAATAAATGAATAAATGTCACGAATGTAACGAAAAAATTTAAATGTACTTCTTCAAGAAAATAGAAAAAAATGAAAATAAAAATAAATGAGTAAATGTCACGAATGTAACGAAAAAACGAGAATTGAAATGTACTTCTTCAAGAAAATTTTCAAAATAAAAACAAAATTTCTTTCGAAAACCTTTCTTTTTATTTTTATTAAATCAAAAATGATTGATTTATTGATGAATAAATGTACGAATGAAAATCAATGATAACCAAGACGAAATAGAATCTCAACCATAGGTTTCACGACAGTCATATTGACTGTACGACCATTGACGAAATCTAAATGTGAATAGTCATTATGAAATATTTCGAGGAATTTAACTAAATTTTTTCCAAAAAAAAAAAAAAAAAATTTCACAATTAGAAAATAAAAAAAATCAATTGTGATGATGGAAAAACAATCATACCCGATAAATCTTGTTGTAAACGTTCGATATCATTATCATCGGAAATTAAATCACTGGATCCATGCCACAATATCATACATTGATTGGTAATTTCATTCAGATCATAATATGGTGGTTTTAGTGTTCCATAAACATTTAGATTTTCTTTTGATCCATAATCAAAACGATAAAGATGATGATCACTGTGATTTGAATAACGTTGTCCAATGTGAGAGAATACTTGCAATGAAACAGTATTGGGAAAATGTGCCATTAATCGATATAAATTTTCAGGAATAAATTCGTGATTATTAGAACCAGCCAGTAACATCAATGAAAACATGTACATAATACGAAGAAATTCATTTTTTTCTAATTGATTAGCCAAATATGGCAGAATTGGTACAACATCTACTGTTGATTGTGGAATGTTGCGAAATACTGGTTCTAATGACCCAAGGAAAATTATTGGTAATGAAAGCATTGATCGCATATAGATATTTGGTGCAAGTAGAAATAATGGCCGAATTAAATCATTATATTTTTCATCGATGCTCATCAATTGAAATATTGATAAACAACTAAGTGAATAGCATACAATGCCGACTGTTGTCGTGGATCGTTTAATATTTTCCCGTCGAACATAATCAATATTTGCCATTGCATCCAACGTATAATGATCCAATGTTATATTCCAATATCTTGAATCATCAATATTAAATCGTAAATGTGATGCTTCATGAATATTATCACGTACATTTGTGAGCCAAACATCAAATCCACAAGCAGCCAATGTGAATGCTATATTACGACCAAATCGAATAGGTGGCAATCGATCGGAACGACAATCAATTTCAAGCCGATTTTCAAATTGATTATCATATTCAGTATAAATACCAGTGGTTCGATTAAACCAACCATTGGTTGTAGAGATATATTTCTGTGGTGATTCTGTTAGACCATTAAACAATAGAATTGGATAGCCAATTTTATTGGATAATCGATATGGATTTACGATCCGATATAATTGCAAACGATAACCATCATTAGTGATAACTGTATGGTTTTCACTGTCAAAACCATTCATACGAATTGTTTGTGGGATATTCGCCAATATGGTGAGAGTATAATAGACATCTTTTTTATCATTATCAACCAATTCGATCGATAATACAAAAATCAAATCAACGATAATGATGATTGAGACACTAATCAAGTGACAATTCATCCTGATGATTATTATTAACAAAATGAACATTTTTATCATGAAAATTGTCCACGTAGTAGTAATTGTGAAATTGAAATGTTACGTGTCATACACACACTACCTGCATATTTTTTATTTTTAGCTTTGTTTTGTTTTGAATTCATGATCTAAATCATTTATCATTAAAAATGAGTGGAAAATAAATGACCAACATCATTGATGTGTGTGTGTGTGTGTGGGTAGATTTTCGCAGATCGATGACCATCATCATCATTATCATAATGATGATGATTATGTCAACATCTTTATCAACAGCGGAAAGCATTTCAAATTGTATACACAAACACGCAAACATTGATAATGACCTTTCATAAATTTATCAAAAAAAAAAAAAAAAAAAATCAATTCTATCCGGCGGATGTCACAATTCAATGTAATTGACCTTTTTCAATTGAAATTTTGTTTTTTTCTATTTTTTGCAACGAATCATTAATCGATAATCAAAAATCAATCAAATCGATTGAAAAAATCATTTTTACAAAAAAAAAAAAAAATGATTTTTATCATGAAATGTTTATGTAAACTACTAAATTCAAGGTCGAAAGAAAAAAATTGTGTTTCTCAAAGTTTTTCTCCCTATCTCTGTTTTTCGAAAAAAATCGGGGATTCGACCTGATCCGTTATCTTATCGCGATAAACACAAACACACACACAGAAAGTTTATTTTCATGAAAATTTTATTTTTTTACCCGTCTTACCGGATCATCATCATCATCATTATTTAGGTATATCGGGTTGACAACGTCGAAATGACGACGACGACGACATTGATTTTTATTTACTCTAGCAAAAAGTTTCAAGGTTTTTTTTTTTTATTATTATTGATTCTTTTTCGTTTTTTTTTTCAAAGTTACTTGTCTTATATCTCACGATGTTTTTCCTGATGGTGTGTGTATTCAGCTGTGTTAATCTAGTTTATTTATTTATTTATTTTCTTTCATCATACACACAATGAAGAAGAGATACAAGCAATTCCTTCCTCGGAAAAAAGTGGTGATGGTGGTTCGAAATAGAACAAAAATTCAACAAAAAAAAATAAAAAGTCAACAAGTGTGGACTGACAAACTGACTTTTTCTCCATTCATTCATTTAGGACGACACACCCATAACATAGAACCCCATGTTTGCGCCAAATAAAGAATCTGATAATCATCTGAAAATCAATTCTTGCCATAATTTATCATTTATAAATTGGTTAATTAATCAATTTTCCACTTAAAAAAATCAGAAAAAAATCAATTTTTCCAAATTTAGCCATTTCATCACCAATCACCACTCATTAGAGATATGAAATGTGATATGATTTGTTGTTGTGATGCGGCGAGCCATCCAAACAAATTTGATGGAAAGTTGGTATCCCTGTTTGGTGGTAGAAGAAAAAAACTACTTGAGAAAAGTACACACACACACACACTCACATATCTAATATTGACGAAAAATAAACGTTGTGGATCATAATTCGGTCAACAAAACTCATTGATGCTGCTGATGATGATGTATTATGTAAATTTTTCGCTTCCTTTTCAACAATTTATTTATTTATTTAATTAATACATAAATAAATACATGCCAAATATGGCCACCATCAAATGTCGAACACACACACACACACACAAAACATCATCTCTCGATTGGGTGATTCTGTCGATTTCTTGCTATAAAAAAAAATTTTTTTTTCGTATATGATGTGAAAAGGAAGAGCAAGGGAAAAAAAGGTCAAAATGTCAAAGGCAAAAGTGTTTGCTGTTGTTGACATCGTTATTATGTATGTGAAAAAAAACATCATCATCATCATCATCATCGATGGAGAATAGAAAGAAAGAAAAAGGCATCGCCCTGTCTTGAGATAACAATAAAGAAAAAAAAAAAAATCATCGCCCACTTTATATACATATAAATGGGCCATAAGTCACCATCGTTAATGTTTGATCAAATCAACAAAAATGAAAAAGTTTTCAGTTTCATTCTATAATTGGATTGTTTACCTGTTATTATAATCATAATACGTGTGTTTGTATACTATATAACACTGATATGATAATCAAAAAACAGAAAAATTCGACTAATGAAACAAACAAACAAGGTGTGTGTGTGCGTGTTCGCGCGTGTATTTGCATTTCACACCACCACCACCACGACCATATATATTGATCGATTAAATTTTACAAGAATATGTGATTGACAAAGACAAGATTAAGATTTCTGAATGAATCGGAGAAGAGAAAATCAACGATCATGTGCAAATCATCAATGATATGATAATCACAAGAGAAAAAAAAAAACGAAAAAGTTATTGTCGAAACTTGTGTATAATTATTACTTTCGTTATTTACAAAAACCAGATCGTTCCTGTTAGAACGATATCGCTTTTTTTCATGGGTTTGGCCGATTTTTTTCTACTTGAACCATTGTTTGAGGTAAGATACACACAAATATCAATGAAATCTAGAACCAAGAACGAAAATCTTAAAAACTAAATTTTGAAAATTCAATGGGAAAAAATAACGGAAAAAACATGTATTAAATTTACAAAGAAATTGATGTCACATGTCTACAAAATTTTGGTGTAGGTAATAATCAAGACATAGGAATCAAACGATTTCTTCATCTAAACCAAACATTCAATATGGCCAATTGATTGTCCTTTGTGACAATTGTTATTGTGAATGGTAAATAAGCAACGCATTCCGAGTTGATGTTCACTTATTTTTTTCCATTATTATTACTGCTATATGTGTAATAAAAATAATGTTTTTCTGACGATAATGATAGGAATTTTTATTTGAATTGAACTTTTCGCTGTTGTTGTTGTTGTTATTATTGTTTAAATTAGGTTAATGGCCTCGTTATCTATGATAAAACATTTCATTCTTGGTCGCTATGTGTTGAATTTATTTTTGATGGAAAAAAACAACTTTTTCAATGAAATTTAAATGAATTTAGTTTTCGTTGTCGAAAAAAAAGTTGTGAAATTCAAACAACATTTGGAATGCACTAAAATATAGAACAAAGAATCAATTTATTAACAAATTCTTTAGCAAGAATTTAAAATTGAAATGATCAAAATTAAATCGATTTTTGTTCATTTGGAAAAAATTCCACCAGCAAATATTAATAATTAATGGAATTGCCAGTTCTCTCTATCCACATTTAAAGTCAAATGAAAATAATTTATTTGACATCATTAAGAAGAATCATGTGCAAGTGTTTGTAATGGTTGAATGAATTTTTTTCTTCTTCTTGGATTGGAGCCTAAACACTTCAAACGATTCGCCAAATTCAAAGCGAGAAAAAAAACAGATTAATTTTCTTATTAAACTTTCTTATTCTTTATTCAGATACATTGTATGTTTTGTGTGTGTGTGTGTCTGTGCATGCATTGCATTGTCGACAATAAAAACCTGAATTTTATTTCATGGATTGAACTGTAAAGAAGCGAATTACCAATCCAGTCTATAATAATTGATCACGACAACAACAACAACAACATAGTAAACTAGACCAAATCAAATTGATGATGATTAGCATTCATGGCAATTCGATTCATTCGCATTTTTTTTTCATTCACTCATTCATTCATACAAAGGGATCGAAAAAAAACGATCGTAAATTGTAAACTCGATAATCAAACACAGGCACATAAAAAATAATTTGAGCACAATTTTTTTTCTAGCAAAAATAACAAAAAAAGAGTTCAAATTTTAATCTAATTTGTTGTCGTGTTTAGTTTATTTTTTGTTTAGGCACCGTTTTTTTCGGTGACATTGAACAAAAAAAAAGAAACTTTGAAATTGTGTCAGAATAAAAAGGAGAAAAATTCCAACGGAAAAATTTTCATTATCAAAAAAAACTGGTTCACAAACAAATCATGGGTCACAGTGAATGACAATTCAAATTATTTTTATTGGTGCATGTGATGAATTTTTGGATTTTATTTCCAACAATAAAAAACCAAAAACAAATTCACATCATCACTGATGACAAATAAACAATGAAAAAAAACGATTTTTTTTAGGTGACAAAAAATGCAAAAACCACAAAAACACAACGAAATAATAATAATGGTCTTTTGGACAACATCTGCACACATACACACACATGATTTATAAAGTAAATCCTTGGAAAATAGGAAATGGATAAATTGATTGAACAAAGTGAACAAAAAAAAATTCATTTCATTTCAAAATCAAAATTTTCCTTTGAAAAGAAAAAAATCAATGTAAAAGTTCAAAAACCTTTATCACAAACTAATATCAGACGCCCAAAGGTCAAAGGTAGTGTTGAAAAAATGTACATCTTTTTATCGGAATATTTAATGCTTGTTTGTGTGTGTGTACTGTGTGGATTATCGTAATAATAAGATCTATATTCAAAAAATTCTTTTAACAAATTCTTATTTCCATCACCATCATCATCAGATAAGATTTACATATATCTGACTGTGTAGGAAGGTAAATAATAGGGATTTCATTCATTCACTATTTTTTTGCCATTGTTATTTGTTATATAATCCCATATCATTCTTTTTTTTCTCTTGATCATCATCATTGTCAGTCATAAATCACTCCACCTCCATGATTTAAGCTCTCTGTGTCTGTGTCTGTTTGAATTATAACACAAACACAGATCAAACAAACACATGGATCATTGAAAAAAAAGAATCTAACGACACAATAGATAATGGTCAGTGGAAAAAAAACAAAAGAAAAACGACCAAAAAGATGGCTCAGAATATTTCAAGGACAACTGTGTGTGTGTGTGTGTGTGTGTGTGTGTGTGTGTGTGTGTGTTTGATAATTCAGATTGGTAGACACTAGAACTGCCGAAATGAAAAAAACAAGTTTCTTTTCCTGTCATTTTTTTGACATTTTAAATTCACAAAGACCTCGAAAGAAGGGTAATTAGTTTTTTGACGATTTTCGAAAGACAAACGCGTTGTTTGCAATCTATTAAGATGCCGTCTATGATGGTGTTTTTTGTTGTTCTCACACACACACACTCCGAAGGGTCTTTTGCTATTGACATGTTCAATGTTTTATTCCTTTCGTATTGAATTTTTTAAGTTTTTGGAAAAATGGACAAACTGGCAAATAATGACAAGCATACCACGATGCCATACTGATACATTCGCGAAAAAGTTGACTAAAATAAGCGAGCAGATTATTTGCAAGAAGCCAAGAGCGCAAATAATCGCCGCTTATTCTCGGCTAATTAAAAGAATGCGATTGAATTGCCGAGAAAAATGAAACAATTTGTTTTGAGGTGTGTTGCAATATTGCCAACTGAGGTGAACAAAAATGTTCATATCATCAAAAAAAAAAATTAATTGTTGTATTGAAATATTGTATTTTGAATTATAGTATTGTCTTGATATTGATTTTCGGGAACGAATCAATAATCACATGATATTAATTTCCCAAAGCGATTTGCCCGAGTTTCATTTAATGAAACTGAAACAAGATCTGGAACGGGCTAATCGTTTAAAAACAAATTCAAAATCAGTAAGTTACTACTAAAATACGTAATTCAAACTAATTGTGTAAATTTTTTCGATAATTGTATTGTAGACAAAAAAAGTCGATTCGATCCAAATAATGTTTTGTTAAATGAAATGTATAAGTTTGATATATTCAATATATCTTTCTTTTTATTTTAGCAAAGGATGGATCAATTCCAGTCACCGATCATCCATTTCCCACATAAAAAAAAATTGTCAGAGAAATTCTGAATGAAATTGGAACGTTTTTAGAAGTAATTGAATTGATTACAATTTTATCGATAAATATTAAACCAAAATCTATTATAAATATAGGCGAAAAACTTTGAAACGAATGATGGGTTGATATTTGCTATTGGTGATACTTGGAAAAATGATCATGCGAAAAAGTAATTTGGCTTTATAAATGATGTATTGTAGACAAAAAGTCGATTCGAGTAAATGGAAAATAAAAACAAATGAATAAATGTATCACGATCCAAATAATGTTTTGTTAAATGAAATGTATAAATATATCTAAATGTGAATATTTTCTTTTATTTTAGAAAAAAAAAAATTGTGGAGTTGATCATTTCCACACATAATTGTGATATAAATTTTGGAACGTTTTCAATGAAAAATGTAATTGAATTATGCCGATAAATATTCAAAACTATGGTATAAATATAGGCGAAAAACTTTGGAAAAATGGGTTGATATTTATCAAAATGAACTTTATAAATGGAAATTTTTCTAATTATCTGGTGTTTGTAGGATGATTCATAGTTGATCAACATAATGTGGCAATATGCCGAATCAACAAATAAAAATATCACTGCATATTTTTATTTTAAAAGAATTTTCTCAATTCTTTTAAAAATAATTGGATGATCTAATGATGTGCATTTTAGATGTCTAATATGTATGTGTTTTTGCCATCTTTATAATCATCGTCATTATGTGGAAAATAGACAAAACAAAAACAAAAATGTTTTTCCTGTAAAACGAATGTTTTGAGTATAGAAATGATAAAAAACGCTTCAAATTAGCAATTCATCATTCTGAGCACACACACACACATGACATTTTTATGTGTAAAAAAAGGTCAAAAGTATCGCAATCGATCGATCAATTCAATCATTATACAACAACAAAAACAACAGATTGCAAATGATGATGTGCAGTTCAGTTCAATTGCACACACACACACAAAGTTCATCATCGATCAAATCAAATCAATATAGATGAGGAAACAAACAAACAAACAACAAAAGCGAAGGTCAAATCTAATCAAACACACTATGATGTAATAAGAATTGACATTATCCAACAGAGGCTAAAGTTTAAATGTCAAAAAATGCTGATTCAATCAGATTGAATCAATGTTGATCAAATGAAAGTTTTTCTTTTTTTTTAAAAAATCCTTCCACTCACTCGGATTTACATCCATTTAATGTCTTGAGGTAATTAATTAATTTCAACTTCATTTAACATTTGCCACCAGCCACAAATCATCAAATGTAAATAATTTTAGTGGCTCAAATTTCATTCATTCAGGTGAATGACGGGAACAAATTAAAAATCACAGAAAAGATGCAATAAACACAGATGGTAGCAACAATTATTCAATTTTCTTTTCTGTTTCACAATAGTGAATGATTTGAATGAAAAAAAAATTCATTCATTTTCCAGATTATCATCAGCCTGAAGATTCATTTCCTCTTGGCTGATGATTGCTTGCTTGATTTTTTTTTATTCACTTGGCTCAAATTTCTAGCCGAATATAAATAAATAATTTTGAAAATCTTTAAACACACACACACACACACACACAAAATACTTGAGAACGTCTATTTTTTCCTCTTTTTTTTCACCAAAAGATTGACGAGCGCACGAATTAGACATTTGTTACTTACGTGCATAATGATGATGATGATCCACCAACATTAACATCTCAGCAACAACACACACACACACACACATTAATCCTTCTCTCTAATTTCGTTAAGCTTAAATGTTATGGAAAATGAAAATCATTTTCCTTATGGCGAACAATAAGATACTGTTTGGTTGGTTGGTCAGCTAACTAATGCTGCGTGGTATGAATGACATATCGAAACTGTGTGTCTGATACTTTTTTTTGCTCTATGGAATATACAAGTGGTAATGATGATGATAATAATAATAGACATTCATTGATTGTAATGAACAATTGTTTCTGAAAACAACAATTTCGGCAGCCTTGAATTCAATCATCATCATCATCATCAAATCAAATCCAATTCGTCTGTTGTTGAATCAATGCGAACAACAACAATAACAATGGTTATAAACTGTCGTAAAACTGTTAAAGTTTTTTTTTCTGTTTCATTTTACCTATTATTCATCATCATCATCATTATCACAATAAGACGTTATTATTGTAATAAACGACGAATTAAATGATGTCGTAGTTTTTTTTGCGAAATGAATCCAAAAAAAACAGCAACAACAAAAATCAAATCAAACGATCTCATTGTGTAAAAAAAAATTCAGAAACCAAAAAACCATCTGTGTTGATGATCAATGTGTCGATCATCATCAATGAAATGATGATTAATTTTTTGTTTTTATCAACACCTGCATACCAATTAGACAAAGCTAAACACAGAAACCAAAAGATTCTGTAGAATTGCGAAAATTCAATTGGAGGGTTTTCCGTTATAGCCAATTATTCAGCAATATTGATTCGATATATTAGCCAATTGAAAAAAAGAGGAATGTGTATGATGTCCATAATTGCCTCAATCATCATCATCAAAAGTTCAAGGTTGACATTGATAATAATATGATGATGATAATAATAATTATGATAAAAAGAAGAAAATAGCGAAACACAATCATTTCGTATGTGAAAAATTCTAAATAAAAAAAAAATGTCAACATTTTCATTACATGGATGAATCGAGAAAAGTGATTGATTTGAGAGCGAATTACTCAACACAAAAGATTAACTAGTGAAGAATTCGTTTAGATCAGATTAGATTTTAGCATCCCTGCCGTTTTTTTCTCTTCTTCTCGTTTCATATGAATGATTTTACAGTTATGAAAAAAAAAAAAATTTCTAATTGAAAAAGCACCTACCTCGTCTTCGTTTTTTTTTCTCGCCATCATAATTCATATATTTTCGTTCGGCCAATTTTCTGCAATTTAATTCATTCATTGTTCATGGAGCAAGGGGTGAAATTTTTTCTTTCTTTCTCGAAATTAATAACCATAATCGATGGTTGTTGAAGAACTCGTTTCGTTGTAGCTGTGTTGTTCGAATATATCGGACGTCTTGTCGTGAAATTGATTATTATTATTATGGAAAATAATAAATAAAAACACATTAACATTAATGTTTTGGACACCGCCATGGAGAATGTTTCATTATTTATAATTATTATTATATATCACAATATTATTGATAATAAACAAAAAATGAGTGTTTTTTCGAGGTTTTCATCTTCCGATAATCATAAACACAAGCACACACACAAATATAGTCTAGTGAAGAAGAAAAAATTATCATTTTTTTTTGTTTATGAAAATAAAATAATCAAACGATAATTACCTCATAATTTTTTTTTGTCTTGAATCTCGATAAACATTGTTGTTGTTGTCACAACAAACCATTTGAGTTTCTTCTTCATCATCATCATCATCATCATCATCGACGATCGTTGTCGTTACCAATTCACAGTGTTCAAAGTGCAAAGATTATTATTTATGACGAGAAGTGTTTTTTCTCTCCATTTTTTTTTTTTTTGTTAATCATTTCACAAACATCATCAATATAATTGGTAAAAATCACAATTCAAAGTTTCAAATCAATCAGAGCATAAAAAAGAAAAATTGTTTCCGAAAATTCGAATCAATTTGAATTTTCGAAAAAATTTCTCTTTGTTCTAAATTCTACTCCACAGCTGACATCTAGTGTTCATGATTCGAAACAATGAATCATAATTGATTCGATTTTTTCTTTAATTCACAACAATGGAAAAAATGGAAAAAATTTACAATTTAAATTGATTCTGGTAAAACGAATATGAATCACTAGTAATTTTTTTTTTTTTTTTTTTTGTTTTATTTTTGCTAAACTGTTTTAGATTGTTTGTAACGAAAATTTTTTTTTCAATTCGAAAAACGAAAAAGAATATGCAATCGAGTAGTCGAAATGAAATATTGAATAAACTATATAAATGTAATGATTATGCTGAATTGAAAACAAACAAAGCACGTATCGATTATCTGCTCACCAAAGTCATTGATTATGATCAAGCCAAATCGGTATTGAAATCGAATATCGATAATGTACGACAAAAGAATGGCAAAAACCTAGTGCTGGCAAAAGAATGCAAAATTGTAGCCGATTTTTATTTGCAACAAGTTTCATTGGGTAAAATTGATCATAAATATAAAAATCTTCAACATGCACTTGAATATTATACACGTGCCATACTGTATATGCCATTATTTGAAGATGTACAAATGTTTGCACGGCTTTATGCACGTAAATGTCAAGTACATTTGCAATTGGATGAAAATGAATCGGCACTTTATTCGATTCGTATGGCTTTGGATATATTGAAAACATATGGCCAGAATGATTGTGTACCAATGTCAACTATAATGAATTATACAATATTGCAAGTAAATTGTTTGAAAATACTGTCTCATTATACGGAAGCCATCGAAATGATCGATGAAATGTTGATGAAATTGGCAAAATTTCCTGAATTATCATCCGAAGAACGACAGATTGTATCCACTGATGAATTGATGAAAATGAAAGAAAATATTCAACAATTTATCAGCAAGAACAACGATGTAAAAGAAACGGTTACAGCAGCAGCAGCAGAACAACAACCTAATGATTATTTCAATTATCGTATTGATCATCGTTGTTTGATACGACAATCGCCAGTGGTTGGACGACATTTTATTGCTAAATATGAAATACCGGAAAAAACATGCATTTACCAAGAGAAACCATATTCCATTGTAATTGAACAAGATTATCTGCATAAAAAATGTTCCACATGTTTCAAAGAATTGAAATACAAATTCTTTCCATGTTTATATTGCACCGAGATAGTATTCTGCGATCGTCAATGTTTCGAACAATTATATAACCTATATCATCATTATGAATGTGGTATAATGTCAATATTGAAATCATTAACATCAGCTGCTGTGCATGTATTTCGTATGGTATCACGAATCAGCCCTATTGTTGCTTATCAAACTGAAACCAGCGTAGCATTGGAAGATTATTCTATTGATGATTTCATACAGGAATCGAATCAACGATTAGTACATGAAAAAGATAAAACAATGGATGAAAAAATACGGGCATACAAAATGTCATCAATATTATGGCATCATAATACGAAACATTCACAATGGTCAAATGTACATCATATTGTTGTCGGAGTGGAGACGGCCATCATTTTGGATCTGGTACACAATATGTCATTGAATAAGAGCAAAGAATTTATGTTAAATTTTATCGATATGGTTGTTGTCGGTATTCGTCGTATTATTTTCAATGTTTTTGGCTGGCATGAATATAATGAAGATTGGTCATTACGTGGTCATATTGCTAATTGTCAATGTTTGATTGGATCGCTGGTGAATCATAGCTGTGTACCGAATACGAATTGGGAATTTAAAAATGGTCAGATTTCGTTAACAACAAATCGTATGATTAAAAAAGGTGAAGAAATCACCATAACATATGGTCCAAATAAAGATATGCCATATGATCGACGGCAAGAACGTTTGAATCATTATTTTTTTGCTTGTCGTTGTCAAGCTTGTCTGAAGGATGCACTTTGTGGCTATGCATTACGTTGTATTCATTGTGGTGATGACGACGATAATAATGGTCCGGTTCCATTTAATGTACCATTGAATAATGAACCCGTACTATCTGGACAATGTTTATTGTGTTTTAAAAATATCCAGATTTTCAATCAAACATTGATGAATATAAAAAATGTCTAGATCATTTACGGCAAATTTCGCAAATAATTCCATTGCATCAAGACCCGATCCTATTGGATAAAGCAAAAAAAATGGTACAAAAATTGGCCAATCTTTCCATTGTGCCGAATCCGATCGTCAGTAAAGCATTGTTACTATTTACAAATATCGTCAAAATTGGTGATAAATTTTTGGATTATAATGAAAAATTACAACTTTGTTTGCTGGTGGATTCATTTTTGCCAGAAAAATTTAACAACATTATCACTGGTGATAATGATGTTGATGATAAACTGTAAATTGATTTTTTGTCTTATTCAATCTGTTTATTGATTGTTTTTTTTCTCATTTCTAGATTGAAAAATCTTCTTTATTGGTTCGAATCACTAAATGAATATATTCGTTTCATTCAAGAACAGCAGCCATCATCAACATCATTGCTACAATTACCAACAAGTATTGAATGTAAAGCATGGATTTGTTTGAATAATTTCAAACAACGTTTAGATTCTTTATTGAATGATTGGAAAAATGTGGAAAAAATTACAACAACATTACTACTACTACTACCAATAATAATGATGGAAATCGTTTTGGTGGTGGTAGTAATAATGGCACAATGATCAATAATATGATTATTGACGATGTTTATGAAAATTTAAATGAACAATTTGATTATTTGAAAAACTCTTTCAACAACAACAACAACAACGACAGCAGCAATGAATCTTTGAAACTGTTGAATACAATTCAAGTTTGATTTGATTGAAAATAAAATTGGATTTCCGTTTCCCTGAGAGATATATGTGTGTGTTTCATAAAGATAGATTTCCGTGATTTTCTGTGTGTGTGTGTTACAAAAGGCAACGAAAAAAAAAATTGAAACTGCGACCAAAAATGTGTTGTTCTTGTCCATTGACCATCAATGTGTGTGTGTGTGACATGGTTATCGGATTTATTTTTTTTGTTCTGCTCTGCATTCAGTGTCCATAATAAACGATTTCCGTATACGCAGAAAAAAAAATTCAGACTTAATTTTTCATTTCATTCCATTTCGGTCATTTTTTTTTTGCTTTTTGTTCGCTCACAAACTGTCCACAGTGAAACCAATTTCTTTTCCTTTTTTTTCATTTTTCATAATTATGATTTTGATAATAAAAAGGTGAAATTTCAAATTGAAAAAAAAAATTATCTGATAGTTCGATTGAAATCTTTCAGCTATTTAATCTAATAAATTGAATTTTTTTTTCAATCAATTCATTCATTGATTGATTGATTGTTATTTAGCGTGTTGGTACTGTCCTAGTTTTTTTTGAATTTTTGAATCGAATCAAATCAATTATCATCAAAGCGCCCATAATGTACTTTCTCTTAAATTGATTGATTTGGGTTGGTGTGATCTAAAAGTAAAAAAAAAAAACAATTAAATAGATAATAATGACCAAATCTGAATGAATTCGATTTGAATCTAAACGACAACATAACATGACAAAAGACAATTTTCCATATTATAGTCTACTTGACAAATAAAAACCGTTGACATCAACAACCAGTGTGATATGCCATCATCAAACAACAGTGTTGTCCTGGATCAATGGGAACGCAGTCCAAACCAACCAACCAAGAGACCAACAAAATCCAAAACTTTCAAGAGAGAGAGAGAGAGAGATCAAAGATCATCGAGGTGAATCCATGCATTTACTACAAATAAATGAAAAAAAAACATTCTTTATTTTAATGGGCTATATGCACACATTTATGGTATATGTCATTTGTGAATGAATTGAATATAAATAAATAAATAAATAAATATAAATGACGTTCGTTCATTCATTTTCGAGTTAGTTTTTTTTTGTCGATATTTTTTTTTTCGCGTTGATGAAAAAAAGGTGCATGCACGCAATCATTATATAATTATATAACACTTGTTGCTGTTGTTGTCATTATTTATTTATTTATTTGTTTGTTTGTTTGGTGCCATACATTGTGATTTTGATAATGAGAGTTTCAAAGCGAAACTTTTCTTTCGTTGTTGTTTGAAATGGAAAACGAGAATGGTAAATAATAATAATCATCATTATTCATCATCATCAATGATGATGATGAATGTTCAGAAACAGACAAACAATGCAATATAATGATTATTATGATAATGATAATAAATAAGAATAGCAAGCAACAATTGAATTCTCTGGTAATAAACATTGTTTTTTGGAACGACAACAACGACGACGAAAAAAAAAAAAAAAAACAAAATCAATATAGCCAAAATGGATCGAAAAGAAAAAAAGAAAAAAAGGTCATCCTTATAAATGATGATGATTAATACAATGCACCAATTGTTGTTTGTTGATATTTTCTTCTTGTCCTTTAGGTTGTTGATTTTTTCTCTCTCTCTCTCTCTTCATGCATGTATGTATGTACTTGATTCATGTATTTGAACTTTGTCACTTTCACACTGGAAATGAAAAATATGTTTTTTTTTTTGACAATCAAAATAAAAAAACAATGAATGTGAATACAAAAAAAACATTGAAACAACAACAATCATGGGAAATGAGTCAACAATCGATTGTATCGGAATCATCATATCGTGACAAATAAACCATCATCATCATCATCATCATCAGTGATATATTGGATCCATTGAAATTTCAAAAAAAACAGTGTAAAGGACCATACAAGGGAATGTTGATTTTTCTAATCTAAATCCTTAATCTCATTCGTTTTTCTTAATCAAATTGATGAAAAAAAACTTGGCAATTAAAATGTTCACACCATCATAACATTGTTTTCGTTTAATGATTGATTTCTTGATTTATTGATTATTTGTCACACCAGACAACAACAACAACAACATGTTTTTTTTTTTTTTTGTCGCATGATATTTTCGCTTCATTGAATATATTCAAAAGACCTGTTGTTGATGTCTTCTCTTTGTTCAATTCTTGAATTTTTGGTCTCTTCCAAGCGAAAAAAAAGGAAAGAAAATTTCTGTAACAAAAATATATATGTGTCACAGCTTTCACTGATCTCTTTTTTTTTGTTTTCATTTCATTTTTAGCGATCTCTCTCTCTCTCTCTCTCTCTCTCTCTCTTGATTTTTTCTCTTTTGAAAATCGCATTCATTATACCAGGTATTCTGGTCGGTTTCAATTTGTTGCAGACATATAGCCAGAAAATCTACGATCGGGACGGCACAAGATAAGTTTTCTTTTTTTTTCTCAAAGAAATAATAATCTGCCACAAAAGTTCACCGCGAATTAAAACCACGATTTTTTTCATTTTCATTTATTTTAAAATAATCAAAACTGCCGTGAATACATAATATTGTGAATCATTCGTCATTCGTCAACAATTGATTGAACACAAGATCATTTTTTTTTCTCAATTTCATCACAATCATCATTTCAAATTTTCACACTTTTTTTTTTTGTTTAATCAAAAATACGACAAACCTGGTGAGAGAATGGCTCATATTCGTGAAAGAATTTCCATCATCATAACAGGTTTGTATGAATCGATAATTTCCAATTCTAATCATCATCAATAGGATTATTCATGTTGATGACAATACAACATACAACAATGGTTCATTCAATGTATTATCAAAATATTCGAATGGTTCCTGCACCATCATTGGAAATGATGGAGGTAAGATCAGATCCACAGAATGTTTATGGTCAACAACAACAACAACAACAGCAATGGGGTATTCGTAATTTACCATATCCTATTGAACAACAACAAATGCAAATAGCACCAATGTTTGCATCGGAAGCAAGCAATAATCGAATGGTATATCATCAACCTAATAATAATAATGGTGGTGGTGAAGATAATCTCTGTCAAGGTGGTTTTGTTGAATATTGTCTGATTCAAGCCAATCAAGATGGGGAACAAAGTATGATGATGGAAATCGGTACAACCGGTAATCGAACCGATAATAATGATAAAGATAAAGATCAACTTTCGAAAGAATTCGATGGAATGTGTCAGGTTGTTATTCGTTTTATCAATTGCATTAATTCACATTATTTCCGTTGTAATCCAACGTCATCACAAAATCCAAATACCGATGTTTTCCTCAATTCCTGGACTCATATGTGTGGTAGTGATAGCAAAATTCGTAATAGTAAGCAGTTTTTGTTGAGATATTCATTCATTCTAATAATGATTTGTCATTTTCATCGTTTGTAGAATATCTTCAACACGCTAAATGTATTAAACATGCATTGTCACATAATAATGGACAAGAACAATGTCAATCGCTATTTCAAAGTTATTTTCTTTCATCACAATTTGCATTAGATTCAATGGAAAACACTGTTCAATATGGATGTTGTGCATTTAATGAATGGCAATATTGTATTGATTCATTGATTCAACGACAATGTGGTCCGGATGCAACAAAAGCTATTCAGGATCTGATTAATCAAGCTTCCGCAGGTATGTATCATCGTAATTGATATTGGAATTTTCAAATTTACATCCCAAAAACAGGATTGGTAACATCATTATGTGAAAAGAAAATATTTGGACGTAAATCAAAAGCATGTAGTGGAAAGAAAAATTATAATTACAATAAACTGTCAACATTGGATCCAATGATGAATGCAACATTACAAAAATATGTAACAATCTTTGGTGAATTCATTGAACGTCTACCAGATGATGACGATGATGATGGTGATGTTGTCGACGGTAATGGTAATAATAATCAGAATCAAAATTGAAAAAAAAAATCAAATTTTGCACAAATCAAATGACAATGAACAAAAATTGGCTGGCCAATGCAATCAAATAGTCTCTCAAATCTTGAATTTATTTTTTTTATATAAAAAAAATGACCACAACAAAATATATTGCAGGAAAAAAAACAATAAAATTGCAAATGCACGATCATTATTATTATCTATTCTACTGCTAAAATTGATTAATCAAATTATTTTTCACATTTTAGTTGTATAGATACCACCATCGATCGGTAGATTAACACCATTGATCAAACCAGATTTTTGATTCAATAGAAACAGAACGGCTTGTGCTATTTCCACTGGTTCATTGAAACGTCCAAGTGGACAACGTGATAGCATCCAATCACGGCGTTCTGGATCACTCCAACCAACTTTAGCCATTTCAGTATTTGTTACGCCGGGATTGATAGAATTTACACGAATATTATATGGTCCAAGTTCCAATGCCATAATTTTTGTCATCAAATCAACAGCAGCTTTAGATGAACCATAAACCAAATGATCTTTGTAACCAACTAAACCGGCTAAACTTGATACATTGACAATTGAACCAGAACGTCTTTGTTTCATTCCAACTGTCACACATTGTGTGACATTGATAATTGCTTTCACATTCAATGAATAATGATCATCGCATTCTTGTTCGGTTATTTCGCCCAATGGTGTACATTTTGCATATGCTGCATTATTGACAAGCATATCGATTTTGTCAGCGTATGGTTCCAATGCTTTACGTGTTGCTGTCCAATCGCGGAGATCCAATTCGATTGCAATGACGTTTGTAGGAAATTCTTTTTTCAATGAATCCAAATCTGAACACGTACGACAAATAGCAATAATCTTGACATTTCTTGTTGCCAATTGTCGAACAATTTCACGACCAATACCACGACCAGCACCGGTTACGAGTGCAGTTTGGCCAGCAAAATCCAACGTCATTTTCTTTGTTTTTAATGTTGCTCGTTGTTGTTGTTGTTTTCAATTATCCAACAATTCGACTACGACTAAATATGCACTCACATAAAAATCAGAGAAATTGAAATGGAAATATATCTCGCTGTTTGTTTCGTATAAAACATCAACCACATACATAAATGGAAAAAATTATCATTTTGTTTGATAAACAAACAATTTTCATTTTATTTGCTTTACCATATCTGTCTATCTGTTTTTGTTTTTGTGAATATAGCGAAGTTTGTCATATCTTTTCAAAAATAAATTTTCACAATATATACACGCCATCTGTTGCCAAATACCTCTTGAATTCGAAATTTTTTTTTTTGGAATTTTTTCAATCAAATAAAAAAATGTGAGCAATTTTTTTTCAAAAATATCAATAACAACAACAACAAAATGATGAATGATTGATTCGTGAATGCATTCGATGCTGAACTTGTCAATGAATCATATTGGCCAATATGATTATATTCATCTGGCTGATGAATGATGGCAATTCGTCGACAATCGATTGATCGAAAGAGAAAATCACGAATTCTGCCTGGATTATGATTCTGTACACGCATTTTTCGATTATCAAACTTCCAATATGATGAACCTTTGAAGAAATATGTCACACCTTGGAAAAAAAATTATTTGATTTGATTGTTCATGTGAATGTGATTGATGCTTACTGTCGAATCGCCATGTAAATGCAGCATCCAAATTTGTTGGTATACCTTGCCATACACTTATGTCACGTGGATAATCCATTTCGATACAATTTTCCTGTGAATTTAATCGCCAATATACTGAACCAGTAAAAATATATGCACGACCATTTACAGCCCAATCGATTATTGCATCAATACGTTCAACGTGTTCAGGCAGACATAAATCTGTCAATGGCAGTGGTCCAGCATGATAAAGATTTGAATTGAATAGATAATATTGTCTACCGACGAAAAACATGATCAATTGATCACTACGTCGTTCATAAACAGCATCTACATGACCAATATCCGTTGGAAATCCAATAAAATATTGTGATATTGGTATCGGTTCATGACGAATCAGTGTTAGGTCATTTTTCACCCACCAAAATGACTATAATGTAATGAAAAATCATTAGATCAGAATTATCTAGACGGTTTTGATTGATTACCTGATTTTTAAAGACAAATATTTCATTTCTAATCGATGCAATTGCATCAATGTTTGTATTACACATTACATGTTCGAAACTTTTTATTGTCGGCGATATTGTCGTACCATCATTAATTTGTTTATTACGATCATCATAACTTTTTGTCACTGTTTCATGATGTTGTTTCGTATTATCAAGATCAGTACCACCACCATAAAGGTATTGAACACCAGCACGATCGATTTCAGGTAATGTAAAATTTTCACCATGATCACGATAATAAGGAAACATTATGGAAGCTTCATCGGCCGTATGCGAGAATCCCAATGAATGACCAAATTCATGTAATGCTGTCCAAAATAAACTTGGACCATTTTTATCCAGCCAATTTTCTTCATCATCAAAATGAACATCACCATTTGGTGGTGCATATGCATGTGCAAGTTTAGCACCGGGGCCATCAAATTTCTGTCGTTTACCATCACCATGTTCACCGGCATAGAAACCAATTAGAATATCGGCTTTTGGATCAGCAGATTCTTCAAATTTCAATCTATCCGATGCTTTGGCCCAAATGTTCCATGCACGACTAAATATCTGACGTGCCTGGCCAGATGAAACGTTTGCAGATGGACTTATCAAACTATATAAACCACAGAATCATAATGGCATGCAAAATGTTAATTTTGTTACATTTCGATTTGAAAATATCTCTGTTGTAAAAAACACACAGTTGTTTTTCAAGACAGATTCTCACTCACTCAAGGAGGTTGTGATGAATTAGTTCAATCAGTCGATTAGAAAAACGACAACGACAACTACAACCAAGATGAGCGAGTAAGATATCTGCTTTTTAAGCTAAATATTTAAATAATATGCGACGATTGTGAAAACAAAAAACATACTTCCATTTAATTGGCATTTTTTTCCATTTAGGTCCATAAACAGCAAAACGTTTGGATCGATGATATTTCGATGATGATGATGATTGTACATTATTTACAATATCCGGTACACCACAACGTGGTGATTTCATTACAGCAACTGTATTGGCATCCATCCGACCTGTTTGCGGTATATGAGCAAATTTTTGCATCAATTTTATTGCACGTTCCAATTCTTTATGATCAAGAAGATTTAATTCATTATCACCCATTTCAGGTAAGTAACCATAATTTTCTAGAAAATGCTAAATAAAACGAAAACGAAAACAAAAACATTAATTAGAAAAAAAAGAAAGAAAAAAAAAAAATTACCATAGCCGATATTTTGGCTGAATATTTTTTAGCTATAGCCGATTTTTGCTTGATTATAATGCAAATTAGGGCAAGAAAAACTAAATAATTACAATGATTCAACATCATCATCATCATCACTATTATTTTCAGGCTTTAGATTGATTTGAGAACAATAAACAAATCTTTGATTGACAAATAAAAACAATTTATAAAACGTTGATTTGTTTCTAGTCTAGTAATGAGTCGGATTTCCTAACTGCTCTATATCAATAAAAACAAAACAAAATGATGATGATGATGGTTTGTGATTCCTTTGAATAGGAAGGAAATATTGGTTTTGTTTGATAATTAAACAGCAACAGCAATAGGGGCAATGACAGAAATTATTATTTCATCAAACTAACCACCATTCTAATTGATTGATTATTATTAATCATTATTGTTGTTGTTTGTGGCCATAATTGACAATCGATTTTTATAATCATCATCATTAATAATAACAATATCATCATCATCAGACATTTAGACAATTCCAATTCATTTATTTTATGAATTCAATCTAACCAACCAATAACAAATGATTAGGTTTTAATTTTTCCTATATAAAGTAAATGAATGAATGAATTTTAGTTTTGTTTTAATGAGCAGAAAAAAAAATGACCAAACCTGAAATAGATTGAAGATTTAAAGGCACAAACATTATGAATAATCTTGATCATCATCAATCCATCACCAAGAAATCGATTGATTCATCATCATCATCATCATTTGGAACTTTTAAATGATGATGATTATAACCTCCAAACAAATAATAATAAGTGAGTGTCAAAGTCACCATCATCAGTATGTGTGTGTGTATGTGTTCTGTGTTTGTGTATCGAGAGTATTATTGAGTCAAAAGAAATCAAGATTCTCAATCTTCTCGAATTGGCGCTGGTGTAGTAAGTGGTACAACACTGAACCACCACCACCACCACCCGATTCTTTTTTTTTTGTTTTGTTTTGTTTGGAACAATCCATTTGATTCAACATTTCAAAAGTAGTAGCATTGTGTGTTCCAGTTTTCCATTTTTTTTCTTAGGAAAAAAAATTTCCGATTCTGGTTCTTTCAAATTGCACACAGAATTTAATACAATGTATTAATGTACAAAGCGCCCAACCCTGAATTGAATATATAGACAAATGACAGTCACAACACCGTCATGACCGACGATTAATGCGTCAGAATATCATCAAAAAAAAGTACCGTTATATATAGCTAGACTAGAATATAATCAAACAAACAACACTAGATGGCACATTACTTGTAGTAAAGTGGAAAAATTAAATTTTTAATTCATGGATTTTTTTTAAAAAAAGAAAAAAAAACTGATCAATTTTTCAACGTATCACGTACACATTGAAATGCGGCAATCAATGCAGCCAATTGAACTTTTTCTACACCACCACCTGCACAAAGATTCACTTCAATATTGGCCATTTTATCCATAAGATCCAGTTTGATTTGATCAGGAAATTCAACTAGAATTTAAATATAAATGGATTATTGGAAAACGAAAATTCCAGACTGAATGAATGATAATTGATTACTTTTCAATACTTGTTCATGAAGTCCACGAAGAATGTCGATAAGTGAATAACCATTTTCCGATTGCATTGTTAATATGTTGGTATAGATTTTGGAAAATTTATCCTCTGTTATTTGTTGTAAAATGGATTTAATTTCAGCTTTCGTTGGTATACCACAACATTTGTAAACATTTTCTTCATCCACGATACGAAATGCTGTCGATGTACTTTGCAAAATATTCAATACACGACGCATATCACCACTAGATAATTCAATCAATGCATTTTTTCCATCATCAGTAATATTGATCATTTCTTGTTCAACAATATAATCAAGCCTATGTTTGATTTGATCAGAACGAAGTGGTGCAAAACGAAATTTCGTACATCGTGATTGAATCGCAGGTATTATTTTGTTCAGATAATTACAAATGAAACAGAATCGTACATTCGATGTATATTTTTCAATAACTGAAAAAAAAAAAAGAAATTTACACTCAAATCATTCAATCAAACTTGACTTACTTCTTCTCAATGCATTCTGTGCATCCTGTGTCATAGCATCGGCTTCATCCAATATGATCAATTTGAATGCATTCTGATTAAACATTATTCTGGTCGATGCAAATGTTTGTATTGAACCACGAACAATACCAATACCACGATCATCAGATGCATTTAGCTATGGTTTTTGTTTGCAATTAAAAAATTAGAAGAAATTTGACTCAATGAAATACCTCTAAAACCATTGATGAATAATCCCGTTCTTTATATAATTTTCTAGCACAAGCAAGAATAGTCGATGTTTTGCCAGTACCAGGTGGGCCATATAATAACAGATGTGGCATACGATCTTCATTGATGAATTTTTCAACTAATTTCAATCATTAAAATCGATTAAAATCTAATAAAATTCATTTCAAGACTTTGATTCTGACTTACTGGTAGTAACAATATCTTTATGCGATACTAAATCATCCAATGTTTTTGGCCGATATTTTTCCACCCAATGTATTCCATCTTTTTCGTTCACTTGAACCATGTTTTATGCTGAAGAAAAAGAACAATTTTCAATTCACCAATCAACAATCTGACAATATTCGAACGAGCAATTCAGCGCGCTGATATCAGCATATGTTCGACTTTTGTGCATAATTCATAAAATACGTAAAACTTTGGCGGTAAATTCAAGTTTTTTTTTTTTTTTTGTTTAAAATCGAAAAAAAATTCTTGACAATCATAAATCATCGTGCGTCAATCAATAATTAATCATTCAGACAGAGAAAAAAACATTATAAATGATCTTATATAATAATTTAAAATAAATATTTACAATCCATCAAAATAATAGCAAAAAAAAAGAAAGAGAGAAAGAAAGAAAATCTATCGATCATCATTGGCATCGCATCGGTCAAAATGATTACAAAAAAAAGAAGAAAAAAAATTAAAGAGAATCATCATCAATTGAGCAAATGTTTCGTCACGTGTTTTGTTTTCTTTTTGACTTTTTGGTTTTCGACTATTCATTATCATTGGATTTTGTTTCCATCATGCTTACACTTTCATATCGTGTTTTATCATTCAATGTCCATGACTATGAAAATGAAAGAAAAAGAATGTTTGATTAGTATCATATTTCAATGACAATGACAACAACAACAACAAAAAAACAACACGTACCATCATCCTGATGTTCATTATATAAATGGTCAAAAATATGAAACAAATGATGGCCAATAAAGCAATCAATATGGTAGTCAACAACAGTATCAATGGCAGTACATTGGAAAGGAAATATAATTGATAGGTTATCGATTTGTCCAATTCAGCGTGCTAAATGTTGAAATTGAAATCAATCAGTGATCAGAAAGAAACATAAAAAAATAATCAAATCTTACCGTTGTAAACCAGAATTGTGGCAGATAAAGCTCAAAGTTATCTGGCCAATCTTCCATAATTTCAATTTCATCAGATTTTTTGGCCAAAACGTTGAGCTGAAATTTTACATCGATTGTCAAGGCTAAGGCAAATTTCTAGAACAAAGAGATTTATTTCTTGTGGAAAAAAAATACTAAAACCATTACTTACATGATCAAATTCCATAGTGAACAAATGTTTATCAATATTTGGCTGTAAACCATCAACACTGTTCAATAATGACGGATCGGCAAATAGAAAATGTGGACTTGATGTGAACACGGGTGAATCTTTGGCACAAATGCCCAGATCAAATAGACCATCGGGTGGACAACTTTTATTGTTTTTACAATAACAATGATTATCATTCGATGATGTATAATTGAATGTTGAAGGTCCCATTCGATAACGATAACGACGAATTTGATCCATCGTTTCAATGGTTTCCATGTATTCCAGATCAAATGAACGACATATATCGGCAATAAACATACGTATACTTGGCAGTGGTTTCAAAAGATTTTGCTGGCCAAAATATTGTAAAAGATGGTAATTTTCACGCAAAAAAAATGGTGGCTGTAAATCGCCAGTGGTCGTATGGTCAAATGATCGACATTTCTCGCCCACTTTCCATTTAATGTTTTCATTTTCATTATTCCATGTATCAATCAGGCCCAGTTTTCGACCCGAATCTAATTGCCCGGTGTACACTCGAAATAATCCATCGGATGATGTATTGTTTTTTTGATACAGCCAACCAAAACGGGTTTGTGCAACTTCTCCAGGATAAAAACTCGACGCGGTCGTCAGCAAATCATCTTCATAACCTTCGAACAAAAGTTGACGAATTTTATGTTTCATTACGAAGGACATGTTGAATGCATCGATCAATGAATTCAATGATTCGTATGCTAAAAATTTTTCCTCTTCCGGTATCGATCGTATCTGGTGTATACCGGACTGAAAAAATCAAGCTAATGAAATAGAAAAAAAAATCAATCAATGCAAATCATACCAAAAGTGGAACATTAACATGAACAATTTCATCATCCAACGATCCAATGGATTTCGATGGAACAGGAGTCCATGTTTTCACCTGGCGATATTCAACAGTACCATTATCGAAATTCCATGAAATGTTCACTTTTTCAAAATTCAATTGAAACACATATGGACCAATTTCTTGAAGTCGTGGTTTCGCGCCCGCTTTGAACAATTCATCCGGATTTGTTATGTTGAAAAAATAATATGAACTATAAATTGGAATGTTTGATTTTTGCCATCCCTGGTAACTGGACGATTCTGGATTCAGCATAAATTCTTCAACAATTGCATTTTCTAACGCCGATGGTAAATAAAAATGACTGAACAATGTGGCCACTGTAAATATGATGCCAAACACCGTCAAAATGATAATCTTGTACAATGATTTCCGTTTCATTGCTTCGATTTCCGGCACTGTGGAAATATTTTTCATCATTTTGTTTGAATTTAAATTTGTCGTCACCATTCCGGTATCGGAAACCATTTTGAACACTAAATTATTAATCAATTATTGTCAATCAATCAAATTAAATAACATGATGATTAGATAGTGAATCATTTTATGCTGAAAAATGCATTTTCAACGCCCCATAATCAATCAATCAATTGTGAACAAAAAAAAAAATTGTCGATAAACAACAACAACAACAACAACAACGACGACAAAAATGAGTTTCAATTGTCGTCGTCGTCGTCGTTATTGTCGTAAATGTGTGTGTATGAAGAGCTAAATGGTTGACGATTCGTGTGTTGAATATATGCAAAACACACACACACATACAACCAAAAGGGAAAGCTTTTAAAAAAAAAAATTAAATCGAAAAAAAATGATGGCGCGCGTTTATTGCTCCCTCACCATATCCAAATAATCAAGATGATCATGATCATCATCAACCATTGAATCATACACACACACACGCACACACCAAACTTCTTTAAAGAGAGACTATTACTAATATGACTAGAATTTAAAAAGCTGAAGAAGACGAAAAAAATTCACATTTGACACAAGTCATTAGACATTTTCTACTTCTTATTCATTTCAGTTTATCAACAAGAATCAGAAGAAAAAAAAACTATATCAAGCAACGGCAGCTGCCTGTCTCTCTGTCCACAACATGTGCATCGTCTGCAAAAACATGAATCGAGCCAAATTGTTGAACAAGATGCAACAAATGACAATGACCTCAAATTATGAATATATATTGAATGAATTGTGGATACATTACCTCTATAGATATATACAAAAAATAGAGAATGAAGAAATGGAAATTTTGTTGGTCAAAAAAAAAAAAAAAAATGATTGAATTGTCACCAAAAGGAATTTATATCAAATTTTTATTTTAAACGAATGAATTTAGAAAAACATTCTCTGTGAAATGATGATGATGATGATGATTATGTTTTTCAAATAAAAAACTAAACAAACAAACTGAAATGATGAAAAACCCGAGGTGTTTTTCGTTAATAAAATTGAAATTGTTTGTTGCAAAATGAGAGAGAGAGAGAGAGAAAAAAAAAAAAAAATTTTTCTTTTTTCTTTTCTCACCAGTCTATTGATTCGTTGAGATGTTCAATCAAGATGATGGTGATGGATTTTGTGTGTGTGTGTGTGTGTGTGTGTGACATTCAATCATTGAAAATTAATATTTTTTTTGGTTGCTGCATCCATTATCATCATCGACGACAACAACAACAACAACAACGAAAACAGCATCAATAAAAAATACGTTTTTCATTTCAAGACTAAAAACTCATAGTCGTCGTCGTCGTCGTCGTTTCTGTTTTTGTTGTTGTTATTGACTGTTGACACACACACACACACACATCAAGTTCATGATTGATTCGACAATCATCATCATCACCAAAAAAATCAGTTGACGACAATTTGAATTTTGATGATGATGATGATGAAGAAAGAACAAAAAAAATGAATTGATATGAAATTGAAAAAAAAATTGATCAATCGATCGATTAGCATTTTTTTCCTATTGACATGCTAGATTGATATATGATCTACATTTTTTTTCTCTGCAGATCGAATCATCATCACTTCGTATCAATTTATTGCTATTTTGGGTTTTTTTCGGCTGCTTGCTTTTTTTTATTGTTTGTTTGTTTGTTTGTCCTATCACACTAGCTGAACTGAAGTTGTAAAATTTTTTTTTCTTCATGTATGATATGAAACCCATTATTTTAATCGACAAAAATCAAAATCAATTTCCCATGAATAATAAAATGATGATGATGATGATGGTTGGAAACGACAAAAAATTTTTTTTTTTTCATCAAATAAACCAAATGGCTTTGGGTGGTGGTGTAAAAAAAAATTGGCCGAATCAAATAAATCATACACACACACATTGCAACATGATTACAACACGATGATGATGATGATAAAGTTAGTTTCATGAATCCATTCATGAAAACATCCATTCATCCATAGCCGATAAACACATTTATCAAAAAAAAAAAAAAAAAAAAACGAAAGAAAGAAAGAAAAGAAAATTTCGAGGTAACAAATAAATAAACAGACAATATTGATTGCCGAAATATTTATTATGTGTTTGTTTGTTGCCAAATTCAATGGAATGGTATGGTAGAAATTTCCATTTCAATACAAAAAAAAAAACAAAACAAAACAAAACATCCACCCATTCCAGGTATTTTCATATGATGGTCATAAGACATTCACGTTTTTCTTCTTCTTGTTGTTGCTGTTGTTGTTGCAATGAATGATGACATATGATTTTTGTCGAGATAACAAGGACAAGATTTTTTTTTTTTTTTTTGGAAATTTGAAATCATCTGCACGATACATGCGTTTGTGTTGTGTTGAATGAATGAATGAATAAATGAATGTAATTTGCCTTGGAAACCAGAAAGAAAAATTGAAAGAAATTTTTTATTTGTTCTTTTCCGTGAAAATGTCAAAAAACATTCAGTTTTTTTTCATTTTATAACAGGGGGTTTCTATTTCTGGATATGGTGTGATGAGCACTGATTCTTGGAATTTTTTTTTTTTTTTGAAGAAAAATGAAAAAAATCAATAATTACCTTGAACGGCATTCGAATGATCCAATAATTGTTCATCATCAATGTTCATTTCAATCAGATCGATGGTGTTCATTAATTGTGATGAGAGAAAATTTAACAGACAAAAAAATGAATGTTTTTTATTTTGAAAACAAACAAAAAAAAAATTTCTGGAATTCCAAGATGGACCATTCGAGAATAAAGTAATCTCATTCAAAAACTCATCTAATGAAATGAGTGTGTGTGTGTGTGTGTGTGTGTACAGCTTCAAGATCAACATTAGTTTGTTTTTGTTTTTGTTTTGGTTAAATCGAATTGCAAGGGTTTTCGCGCGCTCTCATTTTTCGAATCAAAATATAGAAAAAAAATCTAGAACAATGAATGCCATCTTTTGATTGTTTTGATGGATAGAAATTTTTTTTTTTTTTTTTTGTTATCAAAATTTGTGGAAATCCGATATACGTGCATGTGGATTTTGAGCACAACAGCGTGTGTGCATGTTTTGATTCCTCGAAACAACAAAACAAAAATAATGTTTTATGTCTCTTTTTGTTGTTCAATTTGAATTCTGCTAAAAATTCGTAATCGAAGAAAAAAATGACAATGAAACAATATTCATTAGTGAATCGTTTGATGAATCGTGAAATTGGATCGATAAAAAATCCATCATCAACAACAATGATGATGAATGATTGTCGCCAGCATCGTGCATCGAAAATTCTATCCAACATGATTATTGATGAAAATCTTGAATATAATGACCATTTCTATTATAAAGATCTACTCGGACATTATGGTTGTGTCAATACTGTTGAATTTTCCAATGATGGAAATTTCATGATTTCTGGTGGCGATGATAAACGTGTTTTAATATGGCGTGTTTGGGATGCAATTGTTGGTATGTTTTTTGTTTGTTTGTTTGATTGATTGATTGATTGAATTATGGATTTTTTTCCTGTTTTGTTTTCAGATGATGATTATAAACCACGAATAATGCGTAAAGAACATTCATCCAATATATTCTGTCTCAGTTTTGATCGAGAACAGCAACGTATTTTTTCCGGTGGTAATGATGATCTTGTTATTGTGCACAATGTGGAAACTGGCGATGCAATCGATGTTTTTGCACATATGAATGATGTTTATGGAATATCGGTGAATCCAACGAATAATAACATATTTGCAAGTGCATCGAATGAAATTCGTATATGGGATCTACGTAGTTCATTGAATTGTCAACATTTACAATCGAATGGTGTATTTCATGGTGTAAAATATAATCCCATTCAACCGTATATGATTGCAACGGCAAGTTCACAATTCGGTGTAGAACTATATGATCTGCGGCAGCCACTGCAAAGATTATCAAGATTTTTTCCATCTTACATGGTCAATAGTCCAGCTGCAATGTGTGTAAATTTCAATCAAACGGGTGATAAATTATTGGCGTTGGGTAGAAAATTACCGCCTGTCCTGTATGATGTTCGTTCGCCATATCCACAATTATTATTTGAAGGTGATGGTTTCTATAATTATTGTACATTGAAAAAATGCAGTTTTGCCGGACAAAATGACCAATACGTTATATCTGGATCGGATAATTTTTATATTTATTTATGGAAAATACCGGATACTGTACGCAATGATTCTTGGCCAGAAAATCCATTGAAAAATGATACAACCACATTTGTTGCTAAACCAATACAACTGCTAACGGGACATCGATCCATTGTTAATCAAGTTTGTTTTAATCATCAAAATGGCGGTATTATTGCATCAACGGGTGTGGAGAAAATGATCCGTCTATGGAGTCCATTAATGCGACTAGGTCCAGAAGAATCAAATTGTATCAATTCAAAAGAGCCAAAATTTTCACGTCAATTATATCATTACACTGATTATATCAGTGAATTAGATCAACGTGATGAAAACAACAGTAACGGTGATAATAATGATGAAGATTTTCGTTTGATCGCCTATTTTGATATAATGCTTAAACGTGATATGTCACTAAGTTCATATAGTTCATCAGATGATGAGAATCGTTCATATTTTGAATTGTGTGATTATTCATCATCATCATCAACAACCACCAGTGCCGATAATGATGATGAACAAGATGATGATCATATCAAGAAAAATATCAATGACAGTTATCCGTCCACTGATTTAGAATCTGATTTGGATGAAAAATTTCATGTACAAAATCATTATGATTTCAAAAATCATAACCATTTACAAACAACATCAGCCACGTCAATTATTGGTAATAGAAAAAATTTAATTTCAAAAGATTATATGAGCCATACCTATTCAAAACGAATGTATGTTCGTTATTTAAAAAGTATTGTCAACATAATCATCAAACAAATGGAAATGATTTTACCAGAATTGAAAGAAATTCTTCAACAACAGCAATCACCGAGGGATTGTCAAAAATTGGAAAATAAAAAACAACAACAGCAGCAATCACAGCAAGAACAACAACAGATATCGATTCTGTTTTTAATGAGAAAACTTCATAATGAATTTCGTTCATATCAGGATCTTTATAAATGTATACAGATTAAGAAAAAATATAAACTTTTGATGCACGCATTTCGTTTTGTTTCGGAATTGTATGGCGCATTACGTACACGGACATTATTTCGTCGCCCTTATAATAATCATGGTGAATTGAATTTGAAAACCATAATTGCATCGTTGTCGAAATCGGATCAAATCAATGTGATGGCAAGAAAAATGTCCATTATCGAAGGTTCGTATTTTTTTTGTGGTTTATTCATTTTACCTTTTCTCTTGTCTGAACAGAACGAAAATTGTGTGATCGAAAACTTCATGGTCTCATTTGTAGTTTTTATGGAAGAATTTTACATTTGGCCAAATTGTTACTTGGTAATTTTTTTTCTTGAATTTTCTTTCAATTTTTTCATGAATTTATTTTTTTTCACTTGACCAGATGTAAAATGTTTTATAAATCTACGAAGTAATACAAATGAATTTTGTTATGCGCTCTTATGCGCCCAAAGTGGCAGTAATGATAATCATCATCAACATTCGATATTCTGTCTGAACAAACGTACAATAACTAGATGTTTAATACAGAATTTAGCTGAAGTTGAACTGGATACAATAACATCGGATTCGTCATCGGATGATGATATAATTGACTGGAATACGGATAATAATAATTCAGATGGTTATGATGACGACATTGATGCTGCTGCTACTGGTGGTGGTGATTTGGCTGATCCACAAAATGAAGATTTAAATCAATCCAGTGATAGCAGTGATGATAGTAGTGATGATGACGATGACCATGATGATGAAAGAAAAAAGAATATCTGGCTAGATAATCTTGTTTCATATTTTTCCAATTCTGATTCAATCGACGACGACGACGACGATGATGATAATGATGATGATGATTCAAGTGATGACAATGACAACAATAAAAATGATGATGACATTGATGAAGATGATAAAGAGCCTGAATCTTCCAATAAATTGAAAAATGATGAACCATCTTTTTCGCCATCATCATCAACCACGTCACCGCCACCATCATGTTCGACGATAAAAACAAAATCCGATTCAGATAATCCTACTGTTCGTTTTAAAAAAATTGAAAATTTTCACAAAAGAAATTACAAAAATGTCCATGCAATACAAAAACGGCTAAAACAACGTCGACGAAAATCATCGTCGTCATCATCATCGACAACATCATCGTCGTCGCCGATGAATAAGACATCGGTGAAAAAAATTCGACGAAATTGAATTTTTGATCCATGACATTTGTTTTTGTTTTTTTTTCTGAAAAAAATTTAAAATTTTTGATAAATATCATTAATAACAGGTGGCGTTACTATCTCATTGACTCGATCAAGTTTTATTCGATTAAATTTTTCTGAATGTTGTGGTTTTTTGGATTTTTTTCCATTTAGCATAATATATTTTGTTCGCTGCTCATCCGTGGTTCACGAATCAGAAAAAAATGTTCACTGAAATAGATTGGCAAACTATTGTTGAACAATTTGTTCATATTGGTCTCATATTTGGTGCCATATTTCAGCTAATATGTATTGGAGCGGCAATCTTTTTACCGTGTAAAAGTGAATTGGCAACGAATCAACGAGAATCGTCGAAAACATCATCATCGTTTGAATCTGGCACAAATGAACGATTTCTGGATGAAAGTGATGATGATCAGGATTTGAATGTGGGCAAAATCTATGGAAATCGTCATGGTAATAGTAATAATCATGTTCATCACCGACATCATCATCAAATGGATGATAATCGTTCCAATAGTCGTGGATCATCATCATCATCATCTTGGAATAGTCGAAACAAAGAAGGAAAACGAAAACGTCGATGAAAGATCATTTTTTCTTTGTTTCACAAAAGATACTCATTCCATTCTTTGTTTTCAATTTTTGATTTCTATAAACACACAACAATGATGTGATTTCATTTCTTTTTTTTTCATTTTCATTTTTGCATCACATTCGATAGTCCTTCATTATTTTAATTTGTAATCAGATGAATTTTTAAAAAAAAAATAAATTCTTTATAAAAGATTTTTTAAAACATGTCATTTATGAATGGTAACACAATTCTTTGGACTTGATCACACTGCCCATGCGTGAAAAAGCAACCATTGTGTTTGTTTTTTCGTCGATATTGTTGTTGTTGTGATTGTTATTGCGACTGTATTTTTTTTTTCATTTCATTTTGTTTTGTTGTTTGTCGTTGCCGTCAATTGTTTTCTGTTATCTTTTTTCTTTCTCTTTATCTCTTGAATGTATTTACAAATCAGTCACTTTTTCAACAACAGCAACAGTTCATATTTTTTAATTCATTTGATTGAATTTTTCATTCAATATTTGCAAAAAAAAAACAAAACAAAATTGTTGTTGTTGTTTGTTATTGCCTGTCATTTCGTCATTTGAAATGATCGCACGCGAAATACGCACATATAATACCACCACCATTCGATTAGAATCTGGTAAGCGAAAAAAAAAGTTTTTGAATTTCAGCCAAAAAAAAAACATACGGATTTTTTATTTTTTTATTGTTTATTTCTTTACCGAGCAGATTTTTTGTTGTTGTTTTCATTTTTTTTTCTGTTTAAATGTCAAATCAGTGCCTTCTTCTTTCATTTCAACGTCATTTCATTGAACAAATTTGATGAATAAAAATCACAATTCGATTCGATTATTTTGTTTGTCTAAAATTTTTCAATCAATCGATTGTGTCATTTTCGAATGACAATTAATCAGCTGTATGTGTGTAGTGAAAATATTTCACCAAATAAAAAAAAATTATGATCAAATTATTCGTCAAAACAACGGTCATCATCGACAATATTAATACAATGATCATTGTACCGGAATCATCGTTATCATTAACGTCATCGATGATTACCTAATTGATTTTTTATTTTATTTTAAAAGTTTTGTTTTTTTTTCTTCGATATTTTTTTTTTTTAAAAATTATTAATCAATTAATTCAATTGAATCTGCACAACGTCAACAATTCATAATAGTAGCTGGAACGAGATTATTCAAATTCAACAATTGTAACCACAGCCAATACTATGAATTATCCATTAATTTTCTCAGCAATCGTTGATATTGGTTCGAATGTACAGCTTTCGAAAGGTTTCACTGGTGTATCATGCATTACATTCGACAATGAACAAGAAATTCTATGGGCCGGTAATTATTCTGGTCATATAACTAGTTTCGTTCCAAATACAACAACTGGTCTTACGAAATATACATCATTCCATGTTGATTATGAAAGTGATGTCAGGTATGTGTGTGTTTGTTTGATTATTGATTTTTGATTGATTGAAAATTTTTTTTCTCAGACAAATCGTCACCTTCAAAGAAGGAATTTTTTCATTAACAAAAAATGCATTACGTTTATCGAAACGTCGTGGTATTACACAATTCACACATAGAAATGAACATTTGATGAAAGATATGCAATGTATGCTATTGAGGAAAAATGATCATAATAAATGTGGTGGCCAATTATTAATGGCCGGTAATCAAGAAAAACTAATCGAATTGGATATCGAAACCATTAAGCCTATTCGTATGATTGATATAATGGATGATGATGGTGGTGGCATACAGAATTGTTATCATATGAAAGGACATCCACGTTTCATTTGTATGGCCGATTGTGATGGAAAGGTTTGTTTGTCTTGATTTGCTTGAAATTTTACAAATTTTAATAATCTTTTCGATTCGACTAGATTGTATTACGTGATTCGGATCAATTACGGATCCAACATCAATTCAAATCAGCTGCACCAATATCAGCAATTGATGCTTGTGGAAATTATCTTGTCACCATTTCACCATATTCACAATTAATGATGATTTATGATTTACGTCAGACAAAATTAGCATCCGTCACACAAATATATCAGCCATCGCATATCAAATTTTTATCCCGATTCACTACTAAATGTTGTATTGTATCAAGAAATGGTCGTTTTTCTATTGTAGATTTAACGAATCCTTCAACAATCAAGTATGTTTTAATGATTTGTTTTTTGATAAAAAATCAAAACGATTCTCTCTATGTATCCCACTTTAGTCCAATCAATGATGTTCAAATGCCTTCATATGATTCTCAGGTTACCGCTTTCGATATATCGGCCACCGATCAAGCATTTGCATTTGGTGATAATCAAAATTGCATATACATACATGGCACATGTGAAAAATTTGATATCAACACAAATCGTAGACAACCAGAATTTGCTGATCCAATAATGCCAACACCATATTATTCATTGATGACCACCAATGATCATTATACGCCAATATCGGAAATATCACCATTTCCTTATTTTGTTCTGCCATCAATGATTGATTATAGTCAACTAGTATCATATATGCCACCACAACAATGTCTACGTGTTTATCGTCCTGTACCAGCAATTGGTTCGGAAATATTACGATCAATGCGTGTTGTTGGTAATATTGGTTATGTTGTTAATTCACCGGGTGCGAAAATTCCCACGGCAATCAATAATGGCTGTTATACAACCAATAATGGCAATGGTTCAATACGTAGTAGTCCAGAAGGCAATGAATTCGGAACGGATCAAATGCCACATCGTTATCATTTTCTGGAACCAAATCACAATAAAGTCGATAAAGATGAATATGATTTCTCTCGATATAATAGCTCACCATTTCCAGGACTGGATTCAACAATACCAAATTCGTATGCAAATAATATGATTCAATGTCTGTATTTTATACCGGCATTTCGTTCCTCAGTTATAAATCATATTTGTAATCGTGAATATTGCCTTGTTTGTGAACTTGGTTTTCTATTTCATATGCTTGATATTGCACCTAAACACAATCCATGTCAAGCAAATAATTTTCTTCGTGCTTTTCGTACAATACCAGAAGTATGTGCCTTTAAATTAATTGTACCAGGTAAGCAATTGATGTTGATATGGTTCATTTAACTGATGGACATTTTTATTATTTACCCGAATCAAATTGATTTTGTGTGTATTTATTTGTTGTAGAAGAAGAATCTTTACGGAAGCAATTTAACTTTTTCAAACTTACACAACAATGGTTACGATTCCTATTACATCAATTACATCGTGAATCATTACAATCTTCTTCTTCAAACAATAATAACAACAACAACAACAATTTGACCATGCAAATTTTGATGGGCAATAATTCATCAAATGGCGGTGGAAACAATCACCATAACAATAATCATGCTAAAAATTTATGGCCATATCCACAGCAGCAGCAGCAACCACAATCACAGCAAATGGTTGAATCAGAAATTGAAAATTTAAAAAATTCATTTGTTACAGAAAATTTTTCGCTCCAATTAACTAGACATTTTCATTGTATAAAATGTCAAAATCAATGGAAAAGTCCATATATTTCATTTCCAGTCACATTGAATTATCCGATGAATCAACAAAATCAAAATCAACAACAATCATTCATTAGTTTTTCAGAGTTATTGTTGAATTCAATACACACAGAACAAACGATACAAGAATTTTGTGAAAAATGTCAAAAATTTCACAATAACATCATTGAACGACGATTAATGTCTAAATTACCGCCATTGTTTGCCATCAATACTGGTTTGGATAATAAAAATGTAAGTTTCTGCTCTTTCGAATGTTTTTCATTAAATTTTCTTGTGCAATTTTTTCTAGGCACAAAAATTCTGGCAAACACAAACTGAACGTTTCACAAAAATCATGACAAATAAAAGAGAAAAATATGTTGTTACAAATCTGGCTGATTTAGATAAATTGAAACAACAACAGAATAATAATTGTCAAGGAAATGGTGGTGGTGCTGTGGTGGTAGCACTAGTAATAATAATCAAATGCCATGTCGTTATGGAAAATTTTGTAAACGTTTAGATTGTAAATTTTATCATTCACATCGTGATGATGACGATGGAAATGAAAATAATTTCTATTCATGGATACCCATGTCAATTTTTATATCGAAAAATTCAAACAATTCTGATGGTTCATCATCATCATCTAAAATGCAAATAAAAGATGATTATAGTGACAATGGTGATCTAGATAAAGATAATTATATTGAATATTCATTAATCAATGTCACGTCGGTGGTAAAATCATCGGAAGAAACATTTGGTAATATTGTCAGCGCTATTAAAATTGATAAATCATATTTTGATGCTCGTCGACGTCGACAATTGGCAAACAGAAAACGAATTCGACGACGTTATCAAAATCGTTTTGTTGGTGGTGGTCAACAACAAAATAATAACTTTGTTGGCGATGATGATGAGGATTTATCCGACGAAAATGATGATGAAGAATTGGATGCATCAATTATTGATGATAATGAAATGTTTACGATTGATAGTCGTACTAATTCATCGTCATGGGATATGGAAAATTTGCCGTGTTATGATTCCAAAATGGATTGGTATCTCTTCAATCATTATCTGATTAATCCAATCACAAGTGAAGAAGTAGTTTCCACTGATTTTACCTGGAAAGTACCAACAATATTGATGTATATGAAGAATGATTGTATGAAAAATTTTCCGCATAACAAATTATTACGACGTACCAAGAATAATATGATCAACACGAATGTATTCAATCAATGTTTATCGATATCGCAGAAAATTCCAATGAAATCAATTTCGTTTTTGCCATTGGATTTAGAGATGGAACCACCCAAAAAAGGTGAAATCGTTGCAATGGATGCTGAATTTGTTATGCTCAATCATGAAGAAACTGAATTACGATCCGATGGTACTAGAGCCACGATAAGACCATCACATAAATCTGTTGCGAGAATTTCCTGTGTACGTGGATCCGGTCAAATGCAAGGTGTTCCCTTTATTGATGATTATATTTCAACACAGGATCAGGTTGCTGATTATATGACAAAATTTTCCGGTTAGTTTAATCGAAAATTTCAATTTTTCATTTTTTCAACATTTCAATTTTTTCCCATATGTAAAAAGGAATACAACCAGGTGATCTGGATGCAGCACTATCATCGAAACATTTGACAACATTGAAATCAACGTATCTGAAACTTCGATTCCTGATCGATAATGGTGTAATTTTTGTTGGACATGGTTTACGTAATGATTTTCGTGTCATTAACTTGGTAGTGCCACCGGAACAAGTGATCGATACTGTTTATCTGTTTCAATCACCGAATTCAAAACGTATGGTATCATTACGATTTTTAGCATGGCATTTTCTTAATCTAAATATTCAAAGTGAAACACATGATTCAATTGAAGATGCTAAAACTGCGCTAGCATTATATCATAAATATAAAGAATTAGAAATGAATGGCTGTGCTAAAGAAGCTATTGAAAATCTATATCAAATTGGCAAAGAATGTGGATGGAAAATTCCAAATTTTTGAGTAATTCATAAAAAATTGTTACGAATGTAGTTCATCATCATGAATTTTTTTTTAAAAAGAAATCATTCTCATCATCATCATTGTTCGCATGTGTTTTATTTTTTTTCTCTCTCATTTTGTTGAAAACAAAAACAATCTCAGTCATCCATCAGGTTATCAATTTCTCACTTTTGGCTGTATCTCATTGCAAAAATTATTTATTGTTATATTGAGCAAAAAAAAGTCAAATTATTAAAAACATTTTTTCAATTTTTCAATGAATTACGATTATTTCTTCATCTTCCTCTTTTGTTTGATTGAATATACATTGAATTCATTTATTGGTGGTGGAAAATTTGTTCGTATACGATCATAGCCTATTTCATTTTCATTATGATTTTCGTTCCATTCGATATATTTTTCAATGACAAACATATTAAATTTCGAAAGCTTTCCATCAATATTGTTGATATCGATCCATTCACATTGGTCAATTTCATTGGGACATTTATTGATTTTTTGATTATCATCAAGCGAATGGTTTGAAATGGCACGTAAATGGCAGACAAAATATAAATCCGAACAATTGAATGCCCAATCAACACGATGTAAATGACGTATCGTTAAAATGCAACGAAATTCGGTATTGATACCTGTTTCTTCATATACTTCACGTATTACAGCATCCGATAATTCTTCATCTTGTTCAACATAACCACCGGGAAATTTCCAATAATCGGTTATTTTTGCCTGTTCTTTAACAAGTAATATTTGATTTTTATCATTCAAAACTAAACCACCTGTTTAAAAGGAAAATTGATGAAGAAGATTCACAAATGTTGTTATATTATCAGCTGCATTTGTTTTGTTTTTGTTTTAACTAACCTACGCCGATATTAGTGTATGCATATTTGGGAATATTATTACGACGATGATCAATCAATGATTTAACCATTATAACATTATTATCTTTGGTATGATGAAAATCAAAGCCCAACTAATGAGAATGAATGAACAAGTGGAAAATTTTTTCATCAATTTAAATTATCATCATGAGAATTTTTTGTCATATATTAACATAACCTTGACTAATGGTTCAATTAAACGGACATTATCGTCATTGGTTATTCGAAACCAAATTGTACGTATGTTTTTCGTTGCTTCTTGTTGTTGTGATTTGATTCGATTAACCAATTCATCGATTATCGTTGATAAACGATTCGAATCAATTGATTTAATTTGTTCATTGTTTGTTTCAAAATGAATGCCACCATATCTATCGAATTTTGAATGAAAAAATTCATTCGAAATTTTTCGTCTTTGTATTTGATGAATAAATGAAGCTGTTTTTTGCCTATGATGATGATTCATGAACAGACGGTTAAAAAGTCTAAATGTCATCGTTTTGTTTTGACGTTATGGTTTTAATTTAAGATTTGAAGATAAAAAGAGAACCGAGGAAAAAAATGGGGTTTTGCATCCACATCGAAGAAAGAAAAACCGGTTATAGTGTCGATCGAAAAAGAAAATTGATGTGGTGAAAAAAAAAATTTTTTTAAGGAAATTTTTTTTATTGAAAAACGATGATATCTATTGTGAGTGATGTGAATTGAATTTCTAACGACATTTATGTTGAGGATTCTCGTTCGAAAAAGTGTTTATGTTATTTGATTCAGCAAATTTTTGTTTTCAGTGATTATGAAATCTTTATTATTAGCACATAGTAAAAGTCCGGGTAAATTAATTTTATCCGGTGAACATTCTACAGTATACGGCAAGGTAAGTATTGAATTTTATCTTGCCATTTTGATTGAATTTTTTTTTTGTTTCGTTTCGAAAGAATTCTGTAGCCACTACTGTTGATCTGTATACGGAATGTGAAATTTTCGCTATAAATGATGGAACTATTCGATTGCAATTTTGTAATCTGGATTACGAAAAAACTTGGCCACTGGAATTGTTGAAAAATTGCCCAAAGCTCATTTCGGATATCGACGCGTTCCGATTTAATGGTGAAGAATCATTGATGAAAATCAATCAATTATGGAATGAACTGCAATCAGAACCGACAAATATATCTCATTCATGTTTGGCTTTTTTATTTCTCTATCTAAGTATTGGTGATTTATCCGAAAGAAAAAGTATTAAAATTGTGGTCAAAAGCAATCTACCAAATGGTGCTGGTCTTGGTTCATCATCAGCTTTTATCGTATCAATGGCTCAGGCATTATTCACTGCATCACAAGTATCGATCGATAAAAAAGAATTTAATCGTTGGTGCTGGGAAATGGATAAAATATTTCATGGAAAACCATCCGGTGTTGATAATTCAATTTGTACATATGGTGGAGCCATTTTATTTCGAAATGGACAATTAGTAGAACAAATTGATCACAAGGATTTACCTGAATTGAAAGTGATATTGGTCAATACACAAGTGCCTCGTAATACCAAGAATATGGTTGAACAATGTCGACAACGATTAACAATTTTCACCGATATTGGTAATCACTTGCTTGAATTGTTGAATTCTCTTTCACAAAAAGTATGGTCAACATTGAAGGATCAATCCGGTGGTAATCTTAATCAATTGTCAACATTATTCGAAATGAATCAACATTTATTGAATTGTTTGAATGTTGGTCATGAAAAAATTGATGAAATTGTTGCCATAGCTAAACGTCATGATCTTAGTGCCAAACTTACTGGTGCTGGTGGCGGTGGTGTTGTCATGATCTATCTTAACAGTATGTTGGATGAATAGAATTTTTTAAAAAAAATTTTTTCAACCATTTCTTTCTCCCATTAGATGATACGAAACGAGAATCATTACTGAAACAATTACATTCCAATGGATTCATTACGTATCAGGTTAAACTTGGTGTTTGCGGCGTTCATACCGTCGTGAATTGATTTTTGATTTTATTAAAACAAAAATTTTTTAAAATTAAAGAATTTTTTTCAAAAAATAAAAATTAAAGCGAATATATGTATCACGTTCAAATAATACGTGCATATTTTTATTTTATCACGTGATCAAAGTAATTTACAGTTACTCGGTTATTATGATGTACGCATCATTTATTTGTCTTTTTTATGTGAAAAAACGGAATTTCCACCAAAAAAATTATTTATCAACAATTCGAAATTGACGAATATGTTAAAAATTCAGCTCATTACCAATTGAATAGATAAACTTATCGATCAATCAAACAATCGATCAGTGAATTCAAACGACGAGGAAAAAAAACTATGGATGACGATTTTGGTATAACGACGACCACGACTGCATCATCAATTGATGAATCAGATGATTCAATTATTGTATTAAAAAGTAAGCTCCAATTTAATTTGATTGTTTGTCTTGCTATTTTTGTGTGTTTTGTTTTGTTTTGTTTTTGGCTTATCGCTTATTATTTGATTTTTGATTATTATTTATTTGACAGACAATAAGAATAACAATGATAATGATGGTGATGATAATCATGATACATCAATGATGACAATGAATAATGATAATGGTGGTTCATATCGTCACAAAATGACCGTACAAATTGTAGCAGATAAATCTGCATTACATTGTAAAAATGGTTGCGGTTTTTATGGTAATCGTGAATGGTTTGGTTATTGTTCCATATGTTATAAAGAGATTCGTCATCATCAACAACAACAACAACATCAGCATCATCATAATCAATCAAATATGGCTCAAATACAAAAAAATTATCCTGTTTCATCATCGATACCACCACCATCAACATCAATGTCGCCACCACCACTACAGCCAACATCTCAATCATCATCATTTTCAATGTCATTGAAACAGAAAATTTTACCCGAATCATTGAATCGTGCACATTCCACTACATCACTTTCATCTTCTACTGCATCGTTTCTAACCAATCCAACTGGATCATTATCATTTAGGTTTGCAAATTTTTTCAAATTTTTCATGTTGATTTTTCAATGTTTATCTTTGTAGAAAATTTGAGGAGAAAAAACGTCAACAATCTGAAAAGAATCGTATAAAATCAATTTTTAAACGTGCATCAACATTTCGTGAATATCGTTCATCATCGGCAGCTAGTTCTAGTCAACAACATTCGAATAGCAACAACAATAGCCAGCATACTACACAGGAAAATAATTCATGGCCATTTTTTTCATTGGAACGTCCATTCGAAGAAGTTTTAGCAAAATTCTATCCTGATTATGCATTACGTGATATTAATGTCAATGTTGCGAAATGTGTAGAAAAAGTGAATAAATTACTGAATCGTGGTACCTCGATTGAAGATCTAACGGAATTAATGCATGATTTTTATTCTACAATGGAAAATCGTTTTCAAACAAGTCCACATTATAAAGATGTCAATAGCGTTCAATTCTCACAGCTTATTGATCAGACAGAAAAAATTCTAATGAATAAATTATATACAAATTTATTTGCACGTGTCCAAAACGAAGAAGAAGAACGTGATCTGGAATTGCAGAAAAAGATTCGAAATCTAAATTGGATAATGTCTAATCATTTGGATATTGAAATCAATCTCAGACATCCTAAGGTTAAAGATTTAATGGATCAAGCAATAACGGAAATTAGTGAAGTTGATTCGAAACAAATTCCTTACGAAAAATTGGATGCTATTGTTCGATGTTCGAAAACAATTTTTGAAATGTTACAAATTGACAATAATGCTGCCATTTCGGCGGATCAATTTTTACCGGCATTAGTTTTTGTCATAATAAATGCTAATCCGCCATTATTACAATCGAATATAAAATTTATAACACGTTTTAGCACACCATCACGTCTAATGACTGGTGAAGCTGGCTATTATTTCACAAATCTTTGTTGTGCGACAACATTTATCGAAAAAATTTCTGGTGAATCACTTAATATGAGTGAAAGTGATTTTCAGGTATGTTTTGATTCAACTAATGCTAAATGAAATGAATCATCATCTGTTTTTTTTTTGTTTATATATAGAGCTATATAAATGGTGAAGCACAGCCACCGGGCTATTATAAACAATCATTTCTATGTGAACCATTTCGTATAATGAATTCTAATCATACGATATTAAATGATACAATTAAACGTAATGCTCAATGGTTAGAAAATCTTGACTATCTAGAAAAACGTATGGATCGTTTTGAACAAATATTTGAAAATAAGTGCCGTGTGGCTATCGATTCATCGAAAGAAATGATTGCCCAACATTCAACATATAAAATTTTCGACACAGCTAGTGTTGATGATGTTGATCCATTATTATTTCCGGAAAATTTTCGTGAAACATACAAAAAACATAGACAACAAAAAAAGGAAAAAGAAAACCTTTTGATTGAAATTGAATCAACATCATCATCACCAAATCTAAATATCAATGATGTATCTGTCGATAGTCAAATTGTCTGTGATCAGTTAGCTTCAATCGATTTTAATCATGATTCATCAATCGAACCTTTGACGGTGGAAACAAACGACGACGATAAGGACAACAACAACGATAATGATGATGATGGTGGTGGATTTCCAAAACTTCCAAATCCATTATGTCCAGAACCTATTTCAACAACAACGACGGTCAACTCAAATTCAGATCAATCGGAAAAAACAAGCGAATAGCAAACCAAAACAAAAAAAAACGTTGCAATTAATTTATAAAAAAAAATTTTAATTCCACTAGATTGAAAAAAAAGAGTGTTTGTGTTGTATGATGTTTTAGTAGGAGAAAATTTATTTAAAAAATTTTTTTTTGTTGTGAAAAATATTACAATGATGATAATTTTTTTTTTTAAAAAAAAAAAAATTCAATTAAAATTGACAAAATTATTCATTAACCTAATAATTTTAGAGAGAAAAAAATTCATGAATCAATCATTGTGCGATTGCGAAAACAATCTCGAGATCAAAACATCGTCATCATCATCATCATCATAATCATGTGTTTTTGATATGTTCATCAATTGTCGATGTTTGCCAGTGTTTGTTGATTTTGATTTTGTTGTTGTTTCTTCTGTTTTTGACAATGCTGATTATGAATGATATTCATAGATAGTGTTGTATTTTTACCAATTGCTTCTTCTTCTTGATCACTAATATCATCATTATTATCGCTTGATGTACTGGATGAAATTGAATCACAATAACGTCGACTAGATTCATTAAATTGATGTACAGCTTTATGAAATTTTTTCCGTAATAAATATTTACTATCATCATCATCTACGGCATCTTCATCGTCATCACCATCATCGTCATCATCTGAGCAATTACAAGAATCACCATCAGAATCAGAATGTAAATATGATTGATTAGATGATGATGATGATGATGAATCATTATCGGAATAATGTTTACGATTGAATTTATTGCCCATAATTTTACGCGATTTTCGGTTCTGTTGTTGTTCGAATGTTTCAAAAATAACTTTATTCACTTCTTCGATTGATTCTTCAATGATTCTTGGTTCCCGGTTATTACGATTATTAATGATGAATAAATCATTTTTCTCCAATTCTTCATTAACACTATTTTCATCGATACTACTCAGACTTGGCAATGTATTGGAATTACTTTGACGACATTTTATTCGATTAAATGTCGTTGTTGTTGTCGAAGTCGATGCCGATGTTGTGGCTGCTTTAACATTATTATCATCAAGATCTGCAAATTCGCCATCACCAAATGGTGATTTTATTGATGATGGTGTCATTGGACTTTTATCCGGGAAACGAATTTTATTCGAATGTGTTGACGGCGTGGAAAGACAACTTTGATAACCATCACCACCATAGCCAGAATCAAATGTAGATGTTGTAGACATTTTTGGTATCAATTTCGAATGTTGATTATTATTATTATTTGGACTATTTGGATTTGATGATGATTCCAATAGAATGGTTGTCGTCGTAGATGATGATTTATCAATCGTCGTTGCAAATCGATGATCAATCGATGGTGATGAATTACTATTATCTGAATTATAATGGTAATTGAATACATTATTACAATCATTAGTTGTTTGTATTGCTTTATCTGAATGTTTCATTTTTGTTAGTGAATGATGATGAATTTTATTAAAATTTTTATCCAATATTGATGGTCTTGATGGTGTATTACTATTACGTAGTAGTACATTATCGGTTGTTGTTTCAGGATTCATCGTTTCCTCATTATTAGACTGAGCATTTTTCACGATATTATGATGATTAGGTGATGTAATTATAGGTGATGAGGAATGATGATTATGATGACGATAACGATGATTTTTAATTGAAGAATGATGATGACATTGGTGACATGTTGATGATTTTTTGGGTGATCGTCGATAATAATTAGGACTTTTCATTCGTTTTGGACTATTATTAATAGATATTCGTTTCTTTCGATGATTTATTTTACGACTATTGGATGGTGGTGGTGATGGTGAAACAATAAAATTTAAATTTTCATTACCAGATTCATCATTATCATCATCGATGGTGATGGTAGCCGGTTCTATACGATTCCTTTGTTTATCATGATCATTATAATCAAGCAATGTATATGGAATCACTTTATTACAATCATAAAGTTCTTGTTGAAATACTTCGGGAACTTTTTCAACAAATGGCGATAGAATCGATAATGGTGAACGATCAGATAGTGATTGTTGTAATTGTAGTTGTTGTTGGCCACATTGTTTAGCCATACGGGTCATTAGCGAGTGTTCACGTTGTAAAAGATTTTTTTCACGTTGTTCCAATTTCAACAGACATGTCATCAATTCCATATAAAGATTATTGGCACATTCACGTTTGCGAACATATTCCTCTCGGATATGTTGTGCGTGCATTAATTCTTCTTTACGTTTGCAGATTAAATGTTCAATTTCGTCTTTATAATTTTCATTCATCATCTGACGTTCATTCGAAATGGCAACACTGGATCTTCGGCGTTTCATACGTCGCATACAATTACGTATTTCATCACGCCATTGTTGTTGAATGATGAAAAATTGATTCGCTTCAATTGATGCTAATTCTGTATTAGCGATATCAAGATGCATTAAAATCTGACGAAATGATGGACGATTTCTTGGTTTAACATTCCAACATTGTTGCAGTAATAGATCAAATCCACGCGGTAAACCAGATGGAATCGGTAACGTGAGGCTTGAATTACCTACACCCCATATTATGGCCGATGAATCTACATCACGATATGGAATTTCACAATTCAATAATTCCCATAGAACGACACCATAGCTCCAAATGTCAACTTTTTCTGAACAAAGTTCATCACGAATTATTTCGGGCGCCATCCATGCAACAGTGCCAGTGAATGACATTTTTGTTGATCGATCATTCCATTGTTTACATGTACCAAAATCAGATATTTTCAATGTATCATTATATGATATGAGTACATTTGGTGATTTCAGATCACGGTGTATAATTTTATATGAATGCAAATAATTCATTCCCGAAGCGATTTGTCTAGCCCATTCTAGAATCATACTGGGTGATAATTGTTGTCCACTCTTCAGGAATTCATATAATTGTCCATATGGACAAAATTCCATTACGATGCAATAACAATTTGGACTTTGTGTACAAACACCACGAAATGCAACAATATTTGAATGATTCAATTTTCTTAAATGTCGTATTTCAGTTTCACGTTTTTCTTTTACTTTTTTCACTGCAACCCATTCATTATTATATTTTCCTAATTTTTTCAGCCATAATAAAAATCATCAGTTTTAGAATTTAGAAAAAAAAAACTCAAACCAAACTTACCCATAAAAACGGCACCTTGTGCACCACTACCAAGCCATTGTAAATCTTTAATCATTTCGAATGGTATCTCCCAATCATCATCTTGATGATGATGAAATCCTTGCATCATTTGTGAATCTTTTGTTCCAAGTAAATCGAAAAATGGTTTCAAACAACCAATAATGCCATTGAACCATCTACCAGTATTGTAGCCAAAAAATGTTGTAAATAAATTGTGTGAATAGTAATCTGAATGATGATGATTGAATGGTGGTGGTGGTATATCACGATACGCTTGTCGACTAAATATATACGGTTTACTACCATTCATATGGTGATTGGAATTACTATAGGATTGAAATTCATTTATCGTTGATTTTGGTTGATGTAATGAAACATAAACATCTTGATTATGTGCATCTAATACAATATGCGTTTCATATCTTGGTACCGATTGATTTGTTGAATCTTCTACGATAGGATTCTGTGCAAAAACACGTGTTAATTTACGATGTGATGCAATTTGTTGTTGTTGATTTAATTGATCATCATCATCATCATCATCATGGTTATTATCATTATGAAACATTGTTAAATCTTCATAAAATTCTTCTTGTATTCTTTGTGGTTGTCTGTATGTTGTTGTTGTGTTCTTGCTAGTCGATGGTTCATTATCATCAACAATGTTTATTGGTTGATTATCATCAACCCGATGATTAACGGCTGGAACGATTTGTCTTTGATTTAATATCAAACTATTGGAAGACAATGGTGGTGATGATGATGATGATGGTGATTTAGCACCGGAATTGGCGAATGATTCCCTGGTAGCAAAACAAACCATTTGTTACAACAACAAAAAAATTAATTTAATTCAAACAAACAAAAAAAAGAAGAAAGAAAATTCAATCAAAATGTCAACCACACACACACACACACACACACACGGTGGTTGATTGTTAAAATGAATGGATTCTGATTCTTTTTTTTCTCTTCACGAGAAAAAAAACCTCATGGTTTAGTTTTCAAGTAGATTTCAAGTTGCTTCGTTTTTGTTTTCTATTTTTTTCATTCTATTGTGGAATATTAATTTTGTCATTTTGTATCACTACAAAACAAGCTAATTACCCTTGCACTCTTACTCTTGCATATAATAGTCACATATACGATAATAGAATACGATTGTGTTTGCCAAATTTTCTCGAAAAAAAAGTACGAAAATCTAACCATACACGCGTTTTCATCATCAATCGTTGCATCTTTTCATTTGAATATAATGCAATTCTATGCATAAAAGAATCAAGGATATTCAATGAATATGATATGAACTATAATGAAATCTGAATTTAGATTTTTTTTTCTGTTTAGTGTTTCGAAAGTTGAATTCACTCTACACTTTCATAATTGCATCATATTCAAAATTGATATATTCCAATGAAATAAAGAAACAAATGAAACACACACTAACCTTTTTTCATCATTATTAATTGAAGTGATGATGATGACTTTTTCTTTGTCACTTTGGTTAATTTGATTTTCATCATACAATTGTTGTTGTGATGAATTCTGTTTCAATGTTGATTCTGTTTGAACGAATTCTGTCATCACTGGATTTTCGTGATAATTTGGATTTATATCATCATCATCGTTATCATTTTTTGCCATTATCATTGATTTTTTTTCTTGTGTGGTTATTATCAAAAGAAAAAAAAACGAGATAATTCAGTTACAATTCAATAACAACAAGAATAATGGATCATAATAATCTTCATAATTCTAGAATCGGCTAATGGTGGAGAATTTTCAAGAATTGGTCTTATGATCAGTTGTTGTCGTTGTTGTTGTTGTTGTTGACGTTGTTGGTTGTCCAATATATATCGGGTTACAGCCCTAAAAATATGAAAAAAAAACCGAAATGTCCGAAAAGCAGTATATATTCTTTTTTTCTGTGTATGCGATACCATTGACTCATTGAATAGATGTAAAATGAGGTGAGGTGAGATCAAATGTATATACGCGAATCAATTCGCTAAGCTGCTGCTGGAACTGCTGCTAGAATTCAAAATGGAATTGCCTGAATCAAAGTAATATGTATCTGCGTTGGATGTATATGTGGAACATTATTCCTATGAATGGAACGGGAATTTCACCCAAAAAAACGATTCTTTCATATTCGATGGTAGTAGTAGTAGTAGTAGTGGTAATCATCGTGTTTGGAACCCAATATGTTGTTTGACATTGTTCCAGACGGTTCCATGTTGTATATGGGTAAATAATCGAATGTGTGCCCATATTTTTTTATATATGTCATCATGTATCAAATGATCTAAAAACGATGACGATATTTTCACCTACACACACACACGAGCACATATATATAGTCGGCTATTGATACTTGATTATTATTATTTTTGGAAATGACATTTCGATTGATCCATTAGATTGACCATTATTATGTAAATAATTTTTTATTCAAAAATTTTCATTATTCAAAATGAAATGTCAAATTAATCATCGGGAGAGAGCCCATAAAAAAAATTCAAAACATTCATTGTTTGATGATGATAAGACCTGCTTGGGTAGAAATAGCCTTAAAGCCATTTCCAAAATTTCGAATGTTTTTTCATTCATTCATTCGTAAAAAAAACCACTTTCCTGGCGCCACTTGACGGAAAAGATTAACAAACAATAACGACAACAACAACAAAAAAATTTTCTTTTTTTTCTGGGAGCCACGCCGTATAATCAATTTGTATTTGTGTGTGTGTAATGCCGCCAACGTTTTTTTAAAACAGAAAAAAAATGATAATCATGATCATCATCATCATTTTATGATACAATTGCAATTGTCGCCTTGTATGTCGTTTTAATGTATGCGTGTGTGCATATTGGCTAATAAAAATCATACCACGCCGTCCGTCCGTCATCATTATTATCATCAACGAAAAACGACGACGACGACGACGACGAAAAAAAAATTCACCAAAAAAGAAAAAAGCCAAGCTAGAAAAAAGCTACAGATACATGTACGCCATTTCATAACATAAATAAATGAATGAATGAATGAATGAGCATATGTGTGTGAGTTAGAATTGTATGGAGGCAGCACAGTCAATCACCACCACCACCACCACCACCACCACAACAACCACCACCACCACAACCAACAAATCACACCTTGTGCATGATGCTTGGTTGTTTTTTTTGCTTGTTTGTATATGTGAATCGTCGTTTGTTCTTTATTTTTTGAGCCTATCATCATCACATTATCATCATCGTATTCATCACCAATGAATCCAACTAAACCAAGCTATAAACCAACATCGTGTCGTTTTATATATTTTATATGTGTGTGTATCTATGTTTTTGGTGTGTTCGTCAGTTTGTTGTTTTCATTTTTTTTTTTTTTTTGATTTAATTCAGCTTGCTTATACAACATACAACCATACGTGCATGATCGTCCTTAATCAAAGATATCTTTTTGGTAATTTTTTTTTCTGGTGGAATTTTGTGTAAAAATTGTGTGTTTGTTAGACACAATGGAATGTGGAATGAAAAACGAACCCTCTGCATTGAATTTTGGTTGATTTTTATTGACAATTTAAAATTTTGATTTCAATCATTCATCGATAATTATTTGTTTTTTTTTTGTTTCATATCATTATTGGTCATCGTCATCATCATGAAATGATAAAAGAAAAAAAAGTGGTAAGAAAAATGAATTTTTTCCAATAATTCTATTCAATTAAATTGTTTTGTTTATCTTGCAGACAGATAATTCATCGATTGTGTCGATCATCATCATTTTATCTATCCATATTGTATCTAGGAATTTCGATTCTAAATCGACCAATATACTACACACGTGTGCCTTTTGAGCATCAAATAAGAGAGAAAAACACCTTTATATCATCAGCCATTAATGGTGTGATTGATGATGCTATTAATCGTGATGGATACATGAATCAGAATCATCAGTTTCATTTTTTTGGATGTCGAAAAAAAAGTCACCAGAACAAGATCAACCTGTTTGACAACGACGTTGATAACAACAACAACGATGTATTGGTTTTATTTATTTTTTTTCTCTGTTCATCATCATTCATTTCAACACGTATAGAATGGATATGAATTTTTTGTTCTGACAATTTGACATTCATTCTTTCTCAATGATTCTGTTTAGATTTATTTAAACAAAACAAAACAAAACAAAATCAATTATCATTCATCCAATTATATCAAATCAATTGTCACGTTTTTCATTGTTGTTTTTGTTATCGATCAATCCAAAATCTAATTAAGATACGTTTATCAGATAAATTTTTTTTTTCATCATTTTTTCGAGCAAAAAGTGAGAACAACAACAACAAAACCGTGTTTTTGTCTGGATCATCATCATCATAATAACAAAAAAGGTATGTTTTTTCAATTCTGATCTACATAAATCATATTCTTTGGTTAACAAGAGAAAGATTTTTGTTTTTTCCATTGCATTTCATCAGAAAAACTTGTGTGTTTGCACATGATTTTTACCAGTGAATATTTCATTTATTTTTGTGGCTAATTTTAGAATTTGATTAACTTGTATATCGATCTTTTTCTGTTTGCTGCAACTATTTTTTTTCAACATTGCGAAATTTTTCAACAAAAAAAAATTGTTGACGTTTTTTTTGTTGTTGTTGTTGTTGTTGTTGATTAGATTAGATTAGAACGAAACAGAAAAAACATTTTTAAAATTAATTGAAATTTTGACCTTTTGTGTGATTTTTGATGACAAATTGATTGATTGATCATGTCATTGATATATGTTATGATGATGACGACCAATAAAACAATCACAGTATACACACACACACACACAGGTGTCATTTATCATAATCATCATTTTGTTTGATTGGTTGGGATTATATTTGCCATTTTGTATCGTTGATGATGATGAATAATGAAAAACTGTTTTGTTGGTAATAAGTAAATATGATGTTTGAAATGAAACATTCTGGTTGTTGTTTTTTTTTCTCTCATTTCATTTAGTCAATGTATCAAGTTATTTAACGGTAATGCATGTTTTTTTTCGTTTTCTAGTTATTTTTGAGCTCATCATCATTAGGATTATTTTTTTGTTTGTTTGTTTGTTTGTTGACAAGATTCAAAATGTTCATTATAAAGATTGTAATGACATGATTACTGATTCATTCATTCTACTCATAAACACTAAGATATTTTGTTGAAAGGAACTTTATTTGTCATTTGGAATCATTTTTTTTGTTGTCTTTTTGGATAATTTTTTTTCTTATGCTTCCATCATCATCGTTGTCGGCGCTTTATATGCCACATGCCACACAAATAGTGTGTGTTTAGTCTGTATTTTTTTTCTCTTTTTTTCCATTTGTTTGTTTGGTTGAATGGAAAAAAAAGTCATTTTTTTTCTTTCCAGACTGAATATGGATGGATTTAAACTTGTGTGTCGTGTCGTTTGTTGTTGTTGCACCATTTTGATCGACAATTTATTAGTCTGCTGCAGTCGTTGGATTTGTGTAATAAAAAATGAAATTTTTTTCTTTCTAAAAAGCTCAAAAATTACCTTCTGCGACTATATATTTTTGTAAATTTAACTTTTTTTGAGATTTGCAAATTAATTTTCCATTTTTTCATTCATTCATTTGTTGATGATAGATGGAAACTAACGCAACCACTGATGATGGTGGTGGAAATAGTGGTGGTAATAGCCTGAAAGCAGATATACAAAAATTAAGTGTCGAAGAATTTGAATTCATTCTAAATCAATTAACTGATCATAATTTACCGGAAAGTAAAAAATGTCCACTTGTACAACGTTTAAATGCTGAAGATTTGGCACGTGTAAATAATAATTCAACAACAACAACAACAACATCATCGTCATTAATAACCGATACTACGACAACAACAACAATAATTGGTAATAATAATAATGACCGAAATAATAATGGAAAATCATCGAAACTACGCAATAATAATAATAATAATAATAATAAAACACGGTTAAATGTAATGAGTAAAGATAATGAATTTCGTTCATCATCAACGATATCATCAAGTAGCATCAGTAGCAGTAGCAGTGATAGTAGTAAATCATTAATAAATCGTGCCAATTCATCATCATCAACAACAACGATGCCTTCATCATCAAGTGATAATTGTGACAATAATAGTCATCATCATCATAATCATCATGATCATACTATTATCATAATGGATGGACAAACCACAACATCGCCATCACCATTACGATGGATAAACACTATCGATAATAATGGCTGTTCATTATCAAATGAAATTGTCGACAATTCAACATTGAATCATCATCATCATCATCATCATCATCATAATCGAAATTTAAGCCAAGTGATTGAAGATGAAAATAATAAGGATCAAAAAGATTTATCCGAAAAAATATTTTCAGATGCTAGTCAACAACCACAACCACAACAACAACAACAGAAACAACAAAAACCAAATAGTGATCATTATAAAAATGATAATGAAAATATGTATAAAACGACAATGAAACAATCATCATCATCAAGTTCAATCACAACTGCAACGACTACAACAACATTTTCTTCTGTACATTTGGATAACATTAATTCACTTGTAAATAGTATCAATGTTAATAATAATCAACAATATGATAAAACACCATTGTATAAACCACTTTTATTGGAAGATAAATTTCAAAATAATACAAATAGTCAATCATCATCGCAGAAACAACTAGGTGGTGGTATTGATTCATATTCATCACCAGAATATAATAATAATGATGATGATAATAAATCGGAAATAATGTTTGTTGAAATGAAAAATTTACGACAAAAAGCCAACATTATTGAATATAGTACAGCAACGGCTGATCTGATGAAACAGCAGCAACAGCAACGACATCATTACAATAATCAAGATTCAAATGATGTCGATAGAGTTATTGAAATGCCAATGCTTTCCACCGGTAATCATCATCACAATCATCATCATCATCATCATTTGAATCATCAAAGACCTGCAACATCAACGGGCGATCATTATGGTAAGTGTTTTGTTTTGTTTTGAATTATTGATTGATTGATATTGAATTTTTGTTTCTCTCATAGGATCAAATGTTAATCATCATAATACAACAACATCATCCTCAGTATCACCACCATCAAGTTATGGTTATTTGAATAATAATAATTCTTTGAATCAAAGTACCGCCACTACCACAACAGCAAATAGGTAATTTTATTTTATTATTATGAATGAAATTTGAGTTTAATTCTTTTACACACCATTCTCATTGTAGACGTGAAAAGAAAAAGAAACAAAAAGATGAAATAAAATTATCGGAAGAGATTGAAGGACACATTGGTTTTATGGATATATCATATCTAGAATCAATTATAAATAATACATCTTCCTCATTATCCACAACAACAACAACAACGACAACAGCAACAGCAACAACGGCTACAGCATTGGCATTAAATAATAATAACAACAGCAATGTAAATATTAACGATAATAAAAGCAATAATAAAAGAACAACAATGATGAATGATGATAATAATGTAAACAATAACAACAAAAGAAACAAAATGGAATTAATGAATAATAATCAAAACAAAACATCATCATCAAGACCATTTGTTGTTAGTTGTGATGACATATCATCTATGGTATTGAAGAATAACAACAACAAAAAAAATTCAATAATTAACGGTGGTGTTGGTGGTGGTTCAAATACTAGTCCAGAATTATCGGTTTCATCTAATTCTGCTGCTGCTGTTATTGTTGGTGTTAATAATAATAAATCGAAAAAGAATAAATCGAAACGTAAACAACAGCAACAACAACAAGATAAAAATAATGGCAACAGCAATAATTCTGATGACATGAATCGAAAAACGACAACGATGATGACCAATTCAACATCGGATTCAAAACTTGAAAAATTAAAAACTGACAATCGTCGTAATAATAGCCGTCAAAAGAATAATAATGATAACCAAAGTGTATGTGGTGGTAGTTCATCATCCGCTTCAGTACGAAGAAAATCAACTAATCAACAACAACAACAACGACGACGACAAAATTCATCTGTAGCCACGGCCACAGCAGCAAATGTATCAAGTTCAGATGATTTTGAAGATACTGATGATGATAATGACGACGATGACGACGAAGACGATGATGATGATGAAGAAATTCGTTTGACAAGATTATTATCACGATCAAAAAAATCAAATAGCCTATTACCATCGATTACTGGTGGTGGTGGTGGTTCATCATCGATTTCAAAACAAACATCAGTCGATTTAAATGATTTAGATAATAATAATGATGATGAATTCTATACGGTATCCGATTCTGAAATGGTTGATCGTGAAAAAGATTTTGTTACACCAAAAAATAGATATTTGAAACGAAAAAAACATTTAAATGCTGTGCGTAAAAATCAATCAAACAACAGTGGAAGTGGTGGTGTTAATCATAATAAATACGGCGGTAATGGTGGCTTCAATAAGAACAATTCTCAAACATTTTCCCTGAATAATAACAATCGTATGATGTTGAATCGACATTCATCTGCATCGATAACAACGCAAGCAACATTGACAGCAACAACAACAACATCGACAATGATGGGTAATCATCATCGTGGTTATGAAAGTGAACGTGAATTAACATCAACATGGAATCAAAATCATTATCATAATCGTCACCATAATCAAGATAATCGTCAAACTGGTACAATGAATACGAATATCAAGAGTGGAAATCAAACAACAACAACAACAACATCATCGACAACAAGCCACAGTCTTTCATCATCAATGTTGGCCATTGATAAATCGGAATCAAATTTAAATCATCATCCATCATCATCATCATCATCAAGTAGATTTTTACATCATGAATTTCCACCCACACATACTTCAATAACAACAACAACAACACTTCACTCAGCAAATTCAGATAATCATTTAAATTTATTGGCTGATTCCAATACAAATACATTATCATCATCTAATAATAATAATACAACTGGTGGTGGTGGAATGAAAATTCCTTCATATGCCGATATAGCCAAATCATTCAATTTGACCACAACGAATGTTAAAGCTCAATTATCACAAAGATTATCATCAGCAGCAACAGAAACACAAACTACAGCCTCTTCCGATGCTGCTACTGAATTTCCTCAATTAACTCCCACACAACAATCGTCAACTATTTTGTCGGATTTGAATACAAATCATGAACAACAACAACAACGACAGCAAGAAGCGATTAATGAAAAAATTGTTGTCGTTGATAATAATTATGCCGCTACCGGTAATAATGAGAGTTCATCATCATCATCATCATCAGTAAATTTAAATACAAAAAACCGACAAGACAAAGACAAAAATGACGGCGACAAAAATGTATCAAATAATGATGATGATGATGATGACAAAAAAATTTTAGTCAATGCGCCCACAACAACAACGACGACGACGACAATGATCACCAATGGTAACGGTGGTGGTGGTGGTGGTGCTGGCGACGTGATAGCTAAGGATAATGTTGATGGCGACCGATTATTATTACCACTACAACCAAAGAAAAATATGATGATGACGTCTGAGACAAATATTGATACTAATAACACTGCAGCAGCAGAAGTAGTACCGATAAAAATGAAGACGAAAAAAATTGATGAAAAAGCAGAAGTTGATTTAACAAAGACACGTGTTATTGTTGGTAGTGGCGCTATCGTTGATAATAATGATGATCAAAATGAATATCATCATGGCGTTAATGTTGATTTGCAAACAACCAAAACAACAACAGCAACAACAACCAAAATTCATATGAAAACGATTGATGACTCGACAACAAAAACAATAACGACGACGCCAAATAACAGACAAAGTACGAATAACAACAATAATAATAATAACGCCGAAAATAACAAAATCATCATCATGCCTATCGTCGATATTCATCAACAGAAGAATATGAAACAACAGAATAATAATCGAATAATAAATTCACAATCAACAACAATGGTGCCTAATAGTAACAATAATGATGATGATGATGATAATAAACCAGAATCACCACCGGTCATTATTTATGGTGATGTTTCATTTGAATTTAATCATTATCATCATCATATCAATGATCAATGCCATCATAATAATAATAATAATGATGCTGTTGTTGATGGTAATGGTGATGAAACGCCTCACAATAATAAAAAACAACAACAAGTGTTCATCATCCATTCATAATAATCACAATCATCAACAACAATATAATGGTTTCAATGATAAGATTGTGTTTGGATTTTTTGATGATATACAAAATGAATTTGATGAAATTCAACAGAATCATTCGTATAATGAACAAATTTATCAATATAATGATACTACTGCCATTAATAATAGTAATAATGTAAGTAATTTGATAATTTAATTGATTAGGATTATTCATTGATTTTTTTTTAGGTTATGGATGAAAAATCAAAATTGAAAACAATTGTTGATGATAAACATCATCATCGGCAATCGAAAAACCAAATGATGGTGGATCATCAATCCGATATGAATAATGTTATTGATGATACCGATAATCAGCAGCAAAAGCATCATCCAGCTTCGAATGAATGTAATAATTTTGAAAGTTTTAAAAAGAATGCTGTACATGTAAATGATTTGGAAAATCATTGGCATCAAGAAGTGGTTTCGACTTCTTCGGTTTCAGAAATGAAAAAACAACATGCCAATGTGCAGCAGCAACATGATTTGATGAGTCCGAATCCCAATCGATCCATGATGCATCATCATGTTGTTCCAAAGAATGAAGCAATCATTGTGAATAAAACATTTCATCATCATCATCATCATCGCCCAAGTCCAACAATAAACAATCAAAACAGCAACAAATGTGTTTCATAAGCTGTCTAAGAAAATATCGTAATGTTTGTCTACAGGACACTGCCGAGCTTAGCATTAATAATTATGCAAATCTTGTTAATTTTATCTATACACGTAAGTGGTGAATTTTTTCGCTTTTTAAAAAACGTGTAATCATTATTTTTTTATTCTCTCATAGATTGGATTAATCAAAAAGTTTGTCAAGAATAATTGTTGATTGATAATTTTTTTCGATTGATTGATCCTGATGATGATGATGATGATGACATTCACTCAATTTCTTCTTTTTTTCCCGAAATAATATGTGTTATTATTGTGCTTTGTTTATTTTTCAAAACTATAATCATCGTCGTTTCGTTTCGTTTCGTTTTTTCTTGTCCCTTATTCCCACCATTTATTTTTCCCTTGTGTGTGTGTGTGTGTTTGTGTATTGTTTGCAAACCAAACATCGTCTTTAATCTTATCATCACATTTTTTCTGATCATGTGATTATCATTATCATTTTGTTTTCCACCGCTTTTTTGAGAAATCGCTTCAATGATTCATCCCAATTTTATCCCACTTATTTTCATGTGTTTGAAGCTTTTTGTTTATAGAAATTATCGAAAAAAAAATTAATCAATCACTTCTTCCTTTCTTTTTTTTTATTTGAAAAAAAATAATCTACTTTGTTATCTGATCATCTCTTTCTATTTCTCTTTCTTAAACTTGTTTGATGTTTATCCAAATTGATAATTATCGGTTGTTATTATTTGATTTTTTTGTTTAATCATTTTTCATTATTGAATGTTGACACAAACACCACAACACACACACACACCACTCACATATATACATTTTTATTTGAGCCGGCCACACATTTATTGATCATCATCATCATCAATAATCATTGTATTGTCACATCATCATCATTATCTAATTGTGATTTGAATTTAATTTTTGTCTGCTGTTTCATCATCATCATCATCATCAATTTTTTCTATTATACAAGATACACACACACAAGCAAAAGTTTCATGTTTAATAATCTATATATATATATTTTTCCAACTAATTCTTCTTTCCTTTTCCCACCATTCACATATATAAAAAATAATCTACTTTGTTATCTGATCATCTCTTTCTATTTCTCTTTCTTAAACTTGTTTGATGTTTATCCAAATTGATAATTATCGGTTGTTATTATTTGATTTTTTTGTTTAATCATTTTTCATTATTGAATGTTGACACAAACACCACACACACACACACACACCACTCACATATATACATTTTTATTTGAGCCGGCCACACATTTATTATTGATCATCATCATCATCAATAATCATTGTATTGTCACATCATCATCATTATCTAATTGTGATTTGAATTTAATTTTTGTCTGCTGTTTCATCATCATCATCATCATCAATTTTTTCTATTATACAAGATACACACACACACAAGCAAAAGTTTCATGTTTAATAATCTATATATATATATTTTTCCAACTAATTCTTCTTTCCCACCATTCACATATATTAACCCTTTAAACACACACAAACACACGCATGAAAATACACATTTTATATTCTTTTAAAATTTTTAAATCGATAAACAGAATGAAACATCAGAACCATTACAACATATGCCCACCACAAATTTTCTTCCAATCAAAAAAAAAAAAAAAAAAAAAAAACTACGAAACCTGATTATCGTGATAATAGAGATGGATGAGTAGAAAAAAAACGAAACAAATCATCATCAGCTATATATTGGTCGATAATATGCTGCATAATAAGAATTAATGGAAATACGAATGGTGAATCCCAGGTCCTGGATGTGTGGATGCAATGAGAATTGTTTGGAAAAAAAACAAACCAAAATGCTTAATAACAACAACAACAACAACAAGTATACACAGAAACAAAACCAAATGAAGAAAGAAAAGAAGAGAAAAAAAATGTTACGAATTTTTTTTTTAAAAATAATATGTTCAATTGAAACAAAATAATAATAATAACATTTGTATTTGTATTTGTTTTGTTTTTGTTTTGTGTTCGTCAGAAAAAAAAATAACGTATTAAATCGGTGATTCATTCTTGTGTGTGCGTTTGATTTTGTTTTTGTTTTTGTTTTGTTTATGAATCGATTGTTGATTGAAAAAATGAAAAGAAAAAAATTTTAAAAACTTTTCCAAGTAGTAACCATTATCGACGACAGATGGCGTATTATACCGCCTTTTTTTTCTTTTGTTTTCTCATCATTCGATTTTCTTTTGTTTGTTCGTTCGTTCGTTCGATCGTTTGATGATGATCTTTTTTTTTGTTGTTGAATTGTGAGTGTTTTTTTTTCTTTCTGGACATTATTTTATCAATCAAACAGATAGTGTATCATTAATCATCTTCATTTTGGCATTGGACAAGTTGTTTTTTAGTGAGTATTGTTATCAATTTAGCCGTTTGTTGTTTATTATTATTTTCATTGAACTGATGTAATACGATTAACATTTCTTTTTCCGGTACACCAATCCATATGGAATAATTATTATCGAAATCAATAAATCCAGTTATATTATGCTTTTGGTCATCAGATCGAATTTCCAATGGTATCATTCGTTCATTTGATGATTGGCTACATTCATGGTCGGCATCGATAAAGGTAAGTTGATTATATTCTTTATTCACACAAATATTCCATAAATATTCTTCGATTCTTGTTTCATTCACCACTGTAGTATTTGTTATTTGTTTTCGTTGTAATAATTTTACCTGTTCTAAACGATGAGAGAGATTTTTAGCCAGTAAAAAATATTCCTCATGCATATTAGCCATTGTCATATTATGACGTATTGAAAGCGCAAAATAACGATGATTTTTCAAAAGATTTGCTGATGATGATGATGGAAAATCATCGATAAAACATTGTTGACTCGATAAATCTAGACGAAAACGATTTTTAAATTGCAAATTTTTCTGATAATATAATGTTATCATTTCATTGCTGCTGCTGCTGCTGTTGACAATTGTTGAACATGATGAATTGTTTCGATTTGCCATAACATTATTATTATCATTATAACGAATTGATGAATCAATTTTAATAGTCTGTAAATAAGTATTCATATATGTTGGACGCCAACTTAGATATGAACAATTATAGTAAAGATATTTAGAATATTGTTCTAAATGTTGAACTGTTGATGATGAACGAATTGATAATCGTGGTCCATTACTATTATCATTGGTCCAATTTATACGTGAATAAAATATAAACTTTGATTCAGTTATCATCATCATCATCACTTCTTCATCATTATCACTTTTTTTCGGTCCTATCATTATAATTGTTTCGGTACCATTTTTAATCCGTTCACAAATTGTCTAATATTTGTCGAACGATGAGGTGAATCGACAAAAGTAAAAATGAAAACAAATAGATTATCATTGAAATATATTCAAATTTTTTTCTACTTTCACACTTACCATTGAATCTGATTTTTTGTTGCTGATGATCTTTTCATTATCATCATCATCATCATAGATGCTGTGAACAAGTTGTTGTTCGGAAATAATAATCAAATTCTCAATTATTATCAAGAATACTAAATGTTTGATGAAAATCATTTCATTTCATTTCATTTTTTTGTTTTGTTTTGTTTTTTTCAATCAATCAATTCATTTCAAATAGATCCACATACATAAGTTTTTTTTCTTTCATTAAAAACCGAATTCATTATTTCGATTGGGCTGTCGGTTAAGATGAAACGGGAAAATTTTTTCATTCTTTCCATCCACAATCAATCAATCAATCAATCATTGATTATTATTTTCTTTCATTTATTATCATTATCGATTTTATTGAGAAAAAAAAATTATCAACCAAATTTTCCCTCTTTGTATTTCGATCTCTTATTATCGATGCACACAATTCAAGGTCTTGATAAATCAAATGTTTATATCTTCTGATTGAATTCATTTACCAAACACACACACACACTTATCTATCAATCTAATTACCTTGTGTGTGTGTGTGTGTGTGTTTAAATTGGATATAAAGCAAATCATTGCTTTTGAATTTTGATGAAACAAAAAAAAAGAATTGTTTGTTTGAACAACAATTTGATTCTCAAACCTCAATCCAAAATTTCTGTTGTTTTGTTTTTTGTTTTTTTGATTCTTATGTTTGTGTTTTTTTTATTCAAACAACTTAAATTCAAAATAGAAAAGAAAATTGAAAATTCAATTTTTGGTTATTATGTTGGCCTGTCAATTTTTTTTCCATTTTGATTTTCTATTCCCATCTATTTCAAGTTGCCGATTCTATTATTCAATTTATTTTTCATCATAGTTGTTGTTGTTTTTTCCAATCCTCCAATAACACTTTACATTTCTAATGAACAAAAAAGATTTTTTTCTCCTGATCATTCTTTTCATCAATTGAAAAAAATGAAGAAATGTCATTTGTATTTTAATGAATGTATATACACAAAGCAATAACAAAATTGATATATCGCAGAAATGAATTGAGACAAAAAAAAAGTTTTAATTTTTTTTCTATAAAACACAAAAATACAAGCTGTTTTATTCCATGGAAAATATTCTCCATTTTTTTTTTTTCTGGTTGCTACAAAAGTGTCATTGAAAGATTTTTTTTTTTTTTTTTTTTGAATTTCAAAATATTCATCCAAATTATTGACATTTTTGTTGTGAAATTCTCCAGAGAAATCATCGTAGTGAAAAAATCCATTGAATCAATATATGGATCAAACAAAATTATCAACACACACACACACACACACTACTTTTTTGTCTCAAATGCCCTGAATCAATCATTAATTCAATGGTTTTGTGTGTGTGTGTGTTTTTTGTATCATCATCATTCAGAGAGTAGAAAAAACATTTGAAACATTTTCCAAAATTTTATTTATTCATCTTTCTTCATTGGGTACATTTTAATTTCCACTCAATTGTGCGGGCAATGAGATGGAATTTTTTTTTCGTAATTATTTTCAGGTCGAATGAATGAAATGTGAAAATTTATTTCTTTGTTGTCGTTGTTGTTGTTTGCATATGAATAAAATAATGTACAAATCAATAACGAATGAACACACATTATTTGATAAACTTTTGTATGAATTTTTTTTCTCTCTTGATTTGAATGAAAATTGATTTTGGAACTATTTTTCGCCAACGGTAAAGAGGGAAAAGAATAATTTTTGAATATTTTTTTTTGCTGTTTTGTTTTTGTCTGACAAATGATGAATATTTAGTAGTTGGTAAAAAAAGAAGTGTGTTTCAATTAAAAAATTATTGAACATTCGTTGTCTTCATTTGTTTATTTGACATGTTTTTTTAAGTTATCTGATGATGATAATGACATTTTTTTTCTTGTTTGACAATTGTTCGAATCCCAAAACAGCAGCATTGTCATTATTATTGATAAAAGGAAAAAAATTTGTCATTGCTTCTGCTAGCTCCGGATATGATCAATATTTGTATCACATCTACCTATGTCTCTCTCTCTCTTGTTCCATGTTCACAATTTAATTAGTCTGCTTTTTGCAAATTGAATTTCAATTCGTTATTTATTTATTTATTTATTCAACAAAAGCAAAAAAATTAAAATTTTCATAATTTCCATAATTGTAATTGAAATACCAATATTGAAATGGATGATATGATATGATGAAAAATGAGAAAATATGGGAGTTTTTTAAGCGTTTGTGAATTTAAATTGAAAACTATTATTATTTCAACGATTTATATAATTATGATGAATGAAATTTTTTTTTTTTGTAATGAAATGCATAATAATAGTAAGCAGTTAATGTATTTCCTTTCTGTTTCTTTTCATCATCATCAAACATATGTTGTTTTTATTGTTGTCGTTGATGTTTTAGATGCCGGTACAATTTGATTTGTACTAATAATAATAACACTGTTGTTTTCATTACCGCTACTGTTATTGTCGATGATTTCTTCATCATCACAATTGTTATTATTTACAATAAACGATTTAGTTTGTTGTTTTTGTACATTGTTAATGTCCTGTTGTTGTTGTTGTTGTAATGTTGACAATTGATGTTGTTGTGATTGTTTTATGCATTGATTTTTAACATCATTTTCTTTCTTATCATTATCATCATGTTTACAGCTAGTAATAATATTATCGGACATTATTGCAGCTGTTGTTGTAGTTGTTGTTGCTATTGATTTTGTTATATTCTTATTACGTAAAGATATTGAACGTAATTTATGAAATTTTCTACGATGTGTTTTTTTCATTCGATTATTATTATGATCATTGTTATTGTTTATACATGATGATGATGATCGACAGCCGGATATATCCGGATGATTATCATTATCATAACTGGAATTATTGACATTTCCGCTATTATCTTGATCAATCATAGTTGTTGTTGTTTGATCATTTTTCTGATTTTGATTTTGTTTATTCTTTTGTTGTTGATTTTTCGTCGTTGTCGTTGTTGTTGTTGCCATTGCTGTTGTTAATGTATTAATCGGTGTTGATGATGATGTTGTTGATGCAATACCGATGGTTACAACGCATCCACCACTGATTGTACCACCACCAGCACCAGCGCCAACGCTTCTGACGCCAACACCACTGCCACCAATGGGTATAAATTCACTTGTACGTCTTTTCATTAGAAATTGACGTCGTATTCTTGGACAACAACAACAACAAATGAATATAATCATTTTGGTTGCACCTTTACGAAAACTTTCATTTAGCCAACAATAGATGAATGGCTAAATTTTTTTTCGATGAGAAAATAAAAACGAGAACAAAAGAAATTAATGTTGAATAACTTTAATATATAACAATAATAAGCTTAGTAAAAATTTGTTTAGATTAAATTTTTTTCCATCTATTTATTTCTCATTGAAAATAATGGCAAAACAAAAATAACGATGCTAAAAGACTGAAGAAAATAAATAAATAATTTTTTTCTCTCATAAAATATTCACCTGCACAATGGCTGTGCGTAAGTGTGTAATAAATCTCATATATAACTGCAAAAAATTACAAGTTTTATAAACTATTTTGATATATGAAATTATTGTTATGATTATCATTATCATTCATTTTCATTCAATGGATATATTGAATGGAAAGAATGAATTTATTCTACATTACTGCAAATACATTGAATTGAAAACGAAACATTATTCTGTTGTTTGCTTGCCTTGTTCCTTTCGCATAAAGTAGAGATAATTAATCAACTATATATTACAAAATATATAACACCACCACCGTTTCCTCATTTATATCGTAGTATCTCTTTTCGAGAAAACAAAAATCCAATTACATTAACCCTATATATGCTATAGAATCTTGTTTCTATTCAATATATTCTTATATATATGGTACATTCTGATGTGTAGTTTTTGTTCAAAATAAAATTGCATCTCATGAAATTTGATAAGTTTCTTTTGTTTTTTTTTTCTTCATTCGTTCATTCGATCGATTTCGTAAAAAAAAATATCAAATTGACGTGTGTTTATCAAATTGATTGATTTTTATTTTCAATGCATTTGAATTGTAAACAAAAAAAAATAATTACATTTTGATTGACTGTTTCATTAATTGAAAATGATTCGATCTATGTTTTTTTGGTTTATTTTTGTTTTGTATTCTCTCTCTTTCTCTATGCATACATGTCTAAAGAAATCCGGGTTGTGTATGTTTTGTATGTGAATAATTTCTTTTTTTTTGGGATACTTGATCAAACCCAAATAATTCATTATTTACACAGGCACACACACACATACACAAACAAAATACTGACTTATTTAATTATGAATTGGTTTGTTGATGAATTATTCGATGTTATTTATGATATTTGAATTGAATCGATCGATAACGAACATAAATATATTATGAAATAATGTCATATTCGAAAATTTCAAGTACCTATTTTTCTTGGAATTTTTTGTTCTTGTTTGTTTTTTATAAATAAAAATTTTTGTAATGATAATTACCAGGTTATTATTATTATTATTTAAATGACTTACATTCCAACAAACTGATGACATGGCAATCCAATGGCAGATGAGAAAAATATTAAAATTAGCAATGATAAGATGAAAATCGACCAACAGATGGTATAGATTTAATGGCATCCAACATATGCCAAACATTGCAACGATCAATATGAGCTACGTGTGTGTGTATATGTGGAAGAATTTGAAAACGAAAAAAAGAGAGAAAAAAAATTAGAAAAATATTTATTTATCATTCATCCATTGATTTGTACAACAACAAGCAATTCAATCAATTGGAGTTTGTTGATTTAATTGAAAATATAGTCGATAGAAAAATGAATATATTCCATTCTTATTCCTTTTTTCTCGGACACGAAACTTTAAGAATAAAATGAGTTTGAGATTCGAATATTTTTTTTTTTGTTTTTGATTCTTTACTTGGCAACAGCAGTTAACTATAAAAAAAAACAAATGGACATTAAAAACAGAATTCGTTCCATTTGTTTTTTTCGCCTAAATGGGTATATTTCGATGAAGGGAAAAATTTTTCAAATTCTACTCGAATCCTATATGTATAATTAATGGAATGATTAAATAAACTAATTTCTGTTTTGATTTGTTTATTCTGTTTTGTGTGTGTGTGTGTGTTTTTTCCACTATCATTGACTAATGAACTAATTAGTAAATCCAATCAAAAAAAAACTTGAATTCTTTATAATTGAAAAAGTAAGTCGAAAAATTTTCATTCGCAATACTGTTTCATCACAAATGTTTCTCTTTTTCTCTTTCTCTTTAAGCGGATTAATCATTTGACATTTTCATGTTTCAGATTCGACAACAGTTTTGTTGTTTTCATTGTCGTTTTTTGTTAGTTATACTAAGGAAATGACCATTTTCTTTTTTGCTTGTTGTTGTTGTTGTTGTTCATTAAATTAACCACACAAGAAAACAACAACAATAACAACAATGAGCATTTTTGAATGATCGATGATGATGATGATGATGATGTGTGTGGTCGCACTAGAAACAACAAAAACATCCGGTTCAAGTGGTAACCTCATCATCATGTTTTTTTTTTTGTTTCAAAGTTTTGTCCGGTTTTGGTTCATTGAAAAAGTGTGGTTGCAGATGTAGATGTAACAAAAATTTCGGTAATCCAGAAAAATGGTAAAACTTTTTTCCTTTTTTTGAATTCATCCACTTATCAAGATTATTCAATTCTGGATTCGGAGTTTTTTTGATTACATAAAAACAATATTTTTTCTTGTCCAAAAATTAATGTCAAATTTCATTTCGAAATGATTGTGTTGTCCATTCAAATTGATGTTTCAACAAGATTATTATTCGTGCAATCTGGATGTCAATTATTATTATCACAACATATCAGCATCAAATGTCACATCCATCAAACTGGATTTTTTTCAGATGTCATGTATATGAATAAAATGGAAAGGTTCCAGATTCCAGATTTAATCAAGAGAACTCTAAATTTTTTTTCTTGCGATTACAATTATGATTTATTTCACCCTTTTTTTGTATCCTGCTGCTGTTGTTATTGATTGTCATTTGGGATTGTTTGCTTGCTTGCTGTGTTGTAGTTTTGTTGATGATGATCAGGTTTCACAGATTTTCGGTTGTTTAGTTATTGTTGTTGTTGGTTATAATATTAATAATTCTGTAACAACAACAACAACAACGACAAAATTTTAATCAAAATAAGAAATGATTGAGAAAGCTCGAGATTCGATACCCAATGAAACATGATCACCGGAATTAATTGAAATCGATTTATTCAATACTGTTTTTTTTCGTTACTTTCGTTTCTTTAGTTTTCATTTTTGCTCTGTCCATTCTCTTTTATCTTTTTTTTCATTTTATTTCATTTCAAGTCAATTTGATGAATTCATTCAAATTTTTCTAGAGGCATTACATCATCATATGAATTCTGGAGAATATTACTTTCAGTCTGAAAATTTTTTTCGAAATAAAATAAAATGAGAAAAAGTCAAAAAATTACAGAAATGTGATAGCGACCAATGTGTGTGTCTTTGATGTTGAAATTAGACGAGATTTTTTTTTCTCTCCTCTTTTTTTGTTTTCATTTTATTTCATTACATTTGACTGTATTTACTGTAAGAGAGAAAGAGATAAGATACATTCATTCATCTGTATGTTTGTGCTTTTATCGTAATTTTTAGATTTTTGTCTTAGTCAGAAAAAAAAAGTTTTTATCCTTTTCGTTCATTTTCCATATACTTTACTTAATAAGATGAAAATGTGAATGTGAATACCAACGAAAAATTCACAAACACAGTAGCTTGGACGACAATGACGATGAAATGATCAGAAATTGAAAAATCGTGATTTTTTCATTTCTTCTCATTATCCATTCTTATATTGAGAATTTTTTTCTTCCATGCATTTATTCACTCAAATCGATTCTCAAGTGAAAATGAAAATCTGACAACATTGTAAAAATTTGCATTGGAAATTTTTCTGATTTTAATCATCATTATCATCATCATTTATTCTAGATTCCACTCACTATTTCCGAAACTTTCATAGCATTTGGATGAAAAGAGAAAATTTTTATTCTTTCATTCCTACTCACTCCTCTCTGTGTCCATCTTATCTTTTCGAAATTATTATTATAATTCGGGTATTAGTTAGTTGTGGTATTGCATTTGGTTTCGTTTTTTTTTATTTTTTGAAAATATGAATTTCATTTTTTCCGAAAAGTAGATTGTGAAAAAAAAACTTTTTATCCATTTCGTTTTATAACTCCTCCCTCGCAATTGTACTAATTCAAAAACAGATATTTCAACAAACTTGAAACGAAACCGAAAATAATTTTGTTCATTTTTTTTGATCAGAAAAAAATTATTAGTTAGAAGATTATAACCGTTCAATAAAAAAAAACATGTTTATCTTTGTAGCGAGAGAAAGAGAAAACAAACTTGACAGCAAACAACGCACAGGAACGAAATTGCTTTAGTTGAAAATTTTCAAAAAATTGATAGCAAAAATGAGAAATATAAACAAAAAAGTACAGAATCATTTCGATTATCTCGCACAATTCTTATCTTGCAAAAAATTCTATGAAATGAACATCGAGAGATATTCTTGAATTCTATTGAAACATTAAAAATTCATTAATGATCCATGAAGCGTAAGATTATTTTGGATTTTTTTTCAACTCTTAAACTCAACCATCGCATTTAGATTCGACATTCCGCGACAATGAAACTTGGCAATATAGTGAAGAAAAAAAATACAGTAGTTAAAAACGAACCAAAATTGGATAGGGATGATATACTTTTTCTTTTTTCTTTGTTGAATTTTTATATGAAAGTGATAACATCAAAGAAATAAAAAAAAAACTCTCAGTTCGTTCATTCTCTCGATATATTTGTTTCAATCAAACAAATTATTTTCATCATTTCATTTCGATTCTATTTGATTCCGGTTGATAATGATATAAAAAAAAAAAATTCTTCTCAGAATTGTCATTTCGATTTAATTCAATTCAATTATGATGTTGAATGAGTTTGTTACAATACAATTTCTTCAATGTAAAAAAAATGTCAACAACAACAATCACAATGACGCCGATCATCATTTAATTTATGAATGGTATACACATCCATCGGCACACAAATACAGAAAAAAATGAATTTTTATTTTTTGTCATCATCATCGTCACGATGATGATTTTTTTCTCTCCATACATTCTTTCAGACAATAATAATTACTATGAATGAATGTGAATTGTTGCAGAATTTGTTTCCAAATTTTTATAATCAACAACAACAGCAACAATCCATTTTTGTTGGTTCCATCATTAAATTTTTTTTTTCATTTTTTCGTACATACAATTCACACATAGAGACAAACAATGATTACATTTGTCATTCTCAATTGATTGATGGTTAACATTTAGAGTACACAGCAGCATTTGATAACCATCTTTTTCATTTTCATTTTCATCAAGTTTAGTGTTTGGACCATAGATGGAACAGACATTTTTTTCTGGGCTGGCCACATTATTTCATTTTATTCCATTTTTGAGATAAAATTGATTCGGTTGTTTCTGTTTTTTAAAGCTTCTGCTATTACTGTTGTTTATGATTGGTTTCATTTTCTTTTTTGGCGTGGATAATGTTTGTGTGTGCCCAAAAAACATTATTATCATTAGGATTTTTTTGTTGTTGTTGAAGACTTTTTCATATCATTTTCATTGTGGATGGCTGCATATAATCGATGGGAAAATTTTTTTTTTTTTCATAAAAAAACAAATTTTTTCTTCTAACCAATCACTAGTTCCAGAATGTTGAATATATCCTGGCATTACAGTTACATCATTCGTTTTTTTTATTGAAATTGTTGTTCGATTATTAGGCTAAATTGTGGTGAATGGACATGAATTTCGTGTCTCTATGTGTCTTTTGTAATGTTCACACTTATATTATATCGATGAAAAATCAATAATCGAAACAATGTTTCGATTACAGATTCCACAAAACAAAATAATCAATATAGTTCAATGATAAATCGATTGACCATCAATTTCTTCTCCCTTGATCTCAAAATCGTTTATCATCATCATCATCATCAATTTTGATGATTGTTTTGAAATTTCTTTATCTCTCTTTCTCGCTTTCTGTCCAATGTTTTCATTCAAAGAATAAATTTATTCAATTTGATTCGATTTTTTTTATTCACATTTTGATTGAAAATTCATAATTCTTTTTTTGGAAATTGACATTGTTTGTTTGTCTAGACTCTAGAGAAAGAAGAAGAATATCATTCAATATGATTTATGGAATTTGATTATTTTTTTTTGTTTCATTCGTTTAAAATTTAATTGATTCGCAGAAATATTTTCTCGTCATTTCAAAGAATGTGAAATAATAATTGTCCACATTTGTCAAATCAATTGGAATTTTTTTTTCGTTGATAAATTCCCGATATTTTTTCACAATTTCCCTTCATTTGTTATTGGTAGTCGTCCATATTTGTTCATTTTTCAATGATAATCATCATTTGTTGTTTTGCACCGAAAAAAAATGAAATTTTCGGTGCAAAAGAAAAAAAAATATTCTAGCCATTCCCTAGAACATGTCGTGCTAAACAACAAAAACAACAGCGACATTCTTTTTTTTTGAAATTGTTTT